GTCGAACGTAAGTTGCAGCTTTGTTTGAATTCACTTCAACAATGGGCAACCGAAAATGGATTTCGTTTTTCGAAATCCAAGACTGTCTGCATGCATTTCTGTCAGAAACGAGGTTTGCATCCAGATCCAGAACTTTATTTGGATGGCAACCGCCTTCCAGTTGTGGATGAAACCAAATTTCTGGGGCTGATATTTGATAAGAAATTGTCATTTATCCCCCACATTAAAAACCTAAAAAAGAAATGTCTGAAAGCCCTCAACATATTGAGAGTCTTATCAAATACTGACTGGGGAGCAGACCGTAAGGTCTTGCTCAGATTATATCGAGCATTAATAAGATCAAAACTCGATTATGGGTGTATTGTGTATGGGTCTGCCCGCGAGTCTTATCTCAAAGAGCTGGACACCATACACAACCAGGGACTTAGAATCAGTTTAGGAGCATTTCGTACATCTCCAGTGGAAAGTTTATACGTCGAGGCGCACGAGCTCTCATTGCACAACAGACGTGATAAGCTTGCCCTGCAGTATGCTACGAAAATTGCATCACTTCCAAATCATATTTCATATAATACCATATTTAGACCTTATCATGAGCATTTATATCTGCGAAAGACTAAGGTTATTCCATCATTCGGTATTCGCATACAACCCCTCATGTCGGAGGCTGGTATCAGCCTTGACAGTATTGCGAATACCCCTTTCTTTAGGTCTCCGCCGTGGGCTACATCTCTCCCAAAGATCGATTTCGATCTTACTCAACATAAGAAGAGAGATACTAGCTCGACGGTGTTCCAATCTCTTTTTAGAGAGCTAAGGTCTAAATATGGTGATTATGCTCCTATTTACACAGATGGCTCTAAAGATGGTGATCGGGTGGCTTCGGCTACAGTGACGCCAACTGAGACCATTTCTGTGTGTCTTCCACCTGCTGCTTCAATATTTACAGCTGAGCTCCAGGCCATTCTTCAGGCTTTGGAGTTCATTCAATCATCACATTTACTACAGCACATCATCTTTACTGATTCTCTGTCCTCGCTTCAAGCAATTAACAATAAACAGCTTGAACACCCATTAGTAGCAGATGTTTATCGTCTGCTACTATCTTACGAGTTGAGCAGCAAGGACATTGTCTTTTGCTGGCTCCCCAGTCACGTTGATATAAGGGGGAATGATCAAGCAGATTTTGCTGCCAAAGCTGCTTTAGATCTTCCCCAATCACCTTTTTTAATACCATATAAAGATTTTAAAGCATGTATAAATCATTTTATTTATGACCGCTGGCAACGGTCTTGGGATCTTGCAGGCACAAATAAACTTCATCATATCAAGCCTCTCTTAGGAGACTGGCCAAGCTCCTATAGAACCAACAGGAGGGATGAAGTTGTTTTGTGTCGCTCTCGCATTGGTCATACTTTTTTAACTCACTTTTTCATCTTGAAACGAGAGCCTCAACCAGAATGTGAACACTGTCATGTTCCTTTGACAGTGAAGCACATTTTGATCGAGTGCAAGTATCTTGGAAATATTAGATCTAAATTTTACCGTTGCCAGACATTACATCATTTATTTGCTCAACCGGAGCTATATTGTGAGATACTAAACTTTTTAAAAGAGACAAAATTTTATTATAAGTTTTAACTATATATATATATATATATGTATCCTATCTTCTTTCATTTTAATTGTTTATATTCATAAAGTATTTGATATTTATTTTTAACTTTATATATTATCTGTGATATTTGTTTTTATTTATGGATATAAATATATTTCTGTGATTTCCTTTATTTTGTCTTGCATTTTTCACCATATGTTTGGCGCAATATAGCCCGGTTGGAGCTGACGTGCCATAAAACCACATTTCATTCATTCATTCATTCAGGGTCTGCTGCATTAGGTTGCATGGTACCAGTAGCTTCACTCACATCTTGATGTTATACATGGCTAGTAGCTTCTCTCTCTGATGATGGGGCTGAGTATGCTGCAAGAAGGTCTTCTTCAGAGACCATTCGTTCAAGTATTTCTGTTGGAAGGGTGTTCGAGCGCAATCCAACATTGGCTTCACTTCCAAACAGGGCTTTGTATGGTGATTGCTTTATTCCAGAGTGGAGTGGTAGCTGCTGTTCTTTTGGAATTGCACAAAGCGAAGTCCCATAGGCCAGTCTGTTGAGTCGTTGTCCCCTAGCCATGCAGTGAGCATGTCCTTCACGTCACAGTTCAAACGTTCTACTGAACCTTGACTCTGGGGATGTCTTGGCTTACCATGCACCATGAGAAGATCAGGCCATAGAAGTTTCAGCTCTGTGATAACGGATGCCGTGAACTCAGATCCATTATCGCTTTGCAAAATCTGAGGTGCTCCGAGTAATAGGAAAATGTCCATCAACTGAAAGGCAACTTCTGCAGCATGTTTGGATGTTAATGGACGTAGTACACAGTATTTAGTGAGATGATCTTGGTAGACCATTATCCATCGGGATGAGCCACTTGCCATTGACTGCATGTCAATTAGGTCTACTTGGCCTCGTGATCCAAAGTCCTTTGATAGAATGGGCTTAACCACTACTCCTTTGGTTGTCATGCGTTTACGTTTCTTCTGGCATTCTACGCAAAGTGACTTGTACAATTCTACTGCATCGCGGGTCACATTGGCATATTTCTTCAAAAATTGCTTCATTTTATCTCGGCCACCATGACCAGTTGAAATATGACCTCTCTTAACAATGTCAAACATATCATCGATATGTGTAAAGTAAATGGGCTCATCATCATTGGTATTGCGTTTCCTGATTAACTTTTCCACGTCACCACACTGCAATATCTCATAGCGACCAAGGATGTAATACTGACGAGGTGTTTTACTTTTGGCAGAACCAGCTTCTTTCAGCTCTTCAAGTAGAGAGCAATACTCTGTTTTCGTCAACAATAAGGACTTGTCATGCTTGTCAGCTTCTCTCTTCATCAAAAGTTCCTCTTTAAAGGAATCTTCCATTGACTTCTCCATTGCAAAAGTTGAAAGAGCAATGATACAGTCTGTTATTGTTCACTTTCTTTTATACATATATGAATTGTTACTTGAACTGGCTTCCTATCTGTTGTTAATTATGGGATTAAGGAGGACTCTAACTGTGGCTTCCAATTTGTTATTCAAACAATCAACTATACCTGATACCTTAAGATATTAAGGATTAAGAAAGAGTTAAAACTTTGGCTTCCAATCTATTATCAAAACAGATCATATGATAGACTTTAAATAATCTGATAGACTTTAAATAATCTGATAGCCTTATGTGATTCCATTAGTGAGAATAATTCATTTTAGTCAATCTGTCTAGAAATCCGCCTAAATTTCCAGTCAATCTGTACATTGACTGATTTTTTTAGTCAATCTACAGAATGACTAAAAATTCCAGTCAATCTACAGATTGACTGATTTTATACATTGACTGTAACATATATACCTTGTCTGAAAGTTTCAGCTCGAAATACTGAGTCGTTTGGACATGAACGTCAAAACCGCTTTTAAGATTTTGGGTCATTTTCTTCGTTGGGTGAACAAGTAATCTATTACCGTTCCTTTAGAGGTCAAAACAGTGCATGATGCATTTGCTGTACTTGATAACGAACGGTAAATTTCTCCGACACGTTATTTTTACAATATAAAAGCCTGGTTTTATCCAGACACCGTATAATACAGTTTGCGGCATCGGTCTCCATTTCCAGATGAAGATTGACGGGTTTAAGTTGTTTGAAAACGTATCACGTATATTAAATTAGTTGCTCGGACTTAAGGTAGTGGATTTTTAAGGGTTTTTCACACAACAATAAGCTGTTTTATTCTCCAAAATATAATCGAGATTGGCCCTTTAACTGTGATACTTGTTTTTATTTATGTATATTAATTCTCTGGGTCCTCCGGTTTCCTCCCACTGCTAAAGACCCATACGCGCAAGCGAATGATTGAAATAAAAACATTAAACCATATGTTAGTCCCGAAATGACCTAGTTTGTGGCGAGTGGACGTTAAAGCCCATTTTTCTCTCTCTCTCATTTGAACATATAAAACCCAGAATCATCTTTAATATCTGAGAGAGAGAGAGAGATGTGGTTTAACGTCGTCTCGACATAGGACATTTCGGGACGAACATGGTACCATTTTATTTCGCGGGAGGAAACCATATAAAAATTGTGCTGCATCTTCGATTCTCTTGCACACGTACTGCGAAGTCTCCCAGAACGTTGACATCATTCGGCTGTTGAAGTTTTCACAATACCCAATTGTCCTAAAATCTTATCTTATTGACATACTCATGCCAATAACTTGCCATATTTTCCCTGTAGCGAGTTGTACAGGTCCCATTGTGAAATCCAGACATTGAACACAAAGAATTTAAAACTTCCTCAATGCAATATGGCTGATTTCCTAAACATGCTTTTCATTATATAAGGGGTTCCAGTGTCAAGGTATGTGGGGGCTATACAGGAGAGAGTCTTTACATTTAAAAAAGTTGGACAGGGGAGAGTAAAAAAATTTTCAGTGCTGCTGGTAACAGTGCATCAGCCAACACCCGAAGCGAATTTTACACCCCCTGGTTAGCAAGATAGCTTCTTAGTCACTAAGCCACTGCAGGTCCCACAGAAAAAGAGGGCAAAGTGCTTTTAACCATAAGCGAGAGAGAAATAGGGTTTCACTTCCACTCGACACAAACTAGGTCATATTGGGACTAACATAGGGTTCCATTTTATTTCAATAATTCGCTTGCGCGCAGGGGTCTTTAGCAGTGGGAGGACCCAGAGGAAATCCACAAGGATGGACAGGCAATCCTTCTCCTTGTCACGTACAACAGTTGAATCAAACCCATGCCAGTTGACTCAACGACAGACCTTTTAATACAGCGCGCAGCTTTCAACCATAAGGTGCTGGTAACAGTGACAAAGCAAAAAAATAAATTGACCAGATCCTAGTCCCTATTTCAGTTACACAAATTATATCAAGATAAATTGCAATGGATATTTCTTATTCAATCAATGATAATTTAAACATTATTAATAAATATCACAGTTAGATAATTTATAACAAAATAAACCTAGTTGAGATAATATTCAATATCTCATATCACATTACAGCAGATCAATATATTCATTATAATTCACACAGACACAGAGTCCATTAGTTCTGAGAGAGATAGGGAGAGAGGTGGTGGAGGTGGGGCAAGCAAGAGGAGGAGGGAGAGAGGAGGAGAAAGATGACTGACCACTCAACACAAACCAGGCATAACGGCAAGGGTGGAATGGGGGCCCAGAGTCCATTAGTTTTGAGAGCTGATGGTGGGGGCAAGATAGAGAGGGGGGAGGGGGTATGCTGACCACTTAACACAAACAATACTTAACAGCAAGGATGGAATGGGGGCCAAGAGGCCATTTGTTTTAAGAGAGAGGAAAAGAGGTGATGGGGGGAGAGAGGTGGTGCAAGAGGAAGGGAGGGGGGTGCAGGGAGGAGGGTGCAAGAGAGAGGGAGGAGGGTGCAAGAGAAAGGGAGGGGGTGCAAGAGAGAGGGAGGCGGATGCAAGAGAGAGGGAGAGTGGGAGTGCAAGAGAAATTAATGCTGTCCACTCAACACAAACCAGATTATTTGGGACTAACATATATCAGTATCAACATCTGGGCTGGTAATAGATCTGACTAGAAAATAAAAGTTGGACATACCAAAGGGCACAGGTGAACCTAATGTCTGTTAATATTTCTGTTATCACATATTTCTTTTCAAAATTTCCATATTATACTAAATATGTATAAAAACTAACAACATTCAAATGTATTCCAAAAACTGAGTGAAATTTGTTTCCATGGTAACACAAAAACTATAAAATCATAGGAGTTTCTAATTGGTAGATGACTCAACAACTAAACAGGTTGATATGTGTTCAAAGATTCATCATTATAACAAGCAGTTGCCATTCAAGATACGCCCACATTTTGCAACAGATGGGCAGAGAACAAGCTAGGAATAAAATATGTAATTTTTTTGTACAATCAGGGGCCATAATCCAGGAAGTTACAGTCCGATATGCACATATATAAAAAAAAACAGAGATATCGAATAAAAATTTTGACCCCTAGAGGGTTCACAACAATTGATAGGCCCTGTTACATGTATATACTTTAATGAAAATGTGGGCTTATAAAAAGACAATTTCTGCACATAAACATTTTACCCCAGATGTAATATATAAAAATTGGAATGAACCCAGAGATGTGGCGTTGGATCATTTATCAACTACACAACTGTACAACATAATTAGATAAATATAGTGCCTTGAATCTCAGAGTGATCTTTTGAAAGAGAGAAATGGAGTTTAACGTCCACTCGACACAAACTAGGTCATTTCGGGACTAACATATGGTTCAGTTTTATTTCAAAAATTCACTTGAACGTAGGGGTCTTTATTTAGCAGTGGGACAAAACCGGATACCCACAAGGTTGGACAGGCGACCCTACTCCTTGTCACGTACAACCGGGGAATCTTTTTGAAAAAAGACAAAAAGTAACAACCACCCACCCGCATCAGAGAGCCAGTATATTTTTTTTGTATGGCTTAAGGGGTTTTGGGGGCATAATTTTAACCATGAGCAATTAAATGATGTAATTCCTCAAAGACACATGAGTATCGTTTTTTAAATATTTCTATAAATTCTGGTAGAGCCATCTTCTTCTGTAGTTTTGTCTGTTTATCTTCTATTGATGGTAAATCTATTCTACGGGATAACCTGAAAGATTATAAAAATCAAAATTAACCAAATCATGTTTAAAGGGTACAACTGGGGATTCGAAACCACACCAGTTGACTCAATGACAGGCCTTATGATACAGCATGCACGTGCATTAGTTAAGATTAAAGAGCTGACAGTTCTCGCTATGATAGTTAACAAACGGTTGCCATGAAAGATATGCCCACATTTTGCAAGAGATGGACAGAGAACATAATCCAAGAGGTGACACACAAATTTCGAAAGGAACCTAGATCTTTGGGTTACACACATAAATTTTAAGTTTCATGAAAATTTGATAAAAATTGTGACCTCTAGAGTGTCCACAAGCTAAAAGCGTAATTTTTTGTACAATCACGGGCCACAATTGATGAAGTTAGTACATGTACCTTCCGATATCGAAGGGAACCAGAAATTGCAGACCAGTCTAGCACCATCTAGATGTTGTAAAACTCGCGGTCGTTGTTTCATGTGTTATCTAGTGCATGGAGACAAGACTTCCCGTAAGCCATTACATGAACTGAATCCTCAATCAGCCAGACAACCCATCACCCATTATCCCACCATCAACACATGTTAAAAACTTACTCAGAAGGATCCAAATTACTGAAACCAAAATCAGCTGCGGTTAACCTAACATTGTCTGCTAACTGATTTCTGTCAGATTCTTCTAGTATCACCATATTTACACATTCTAACATTTCACTGGTTGTTAAACCAACAACAGACGACATATTTACGCAAGCACACACCATCATCTCCGCTAATCTCGGGTTACAAAATACCACATTATCTAAAAAACAAAGAGAGAAATTGTTAATATAAATTGATCCATATTATTATTCAAATGTAAGTACGGTATCCCAAATTTCAGCATGTTCAAACCAATAGTGTATGGAAGACCAAACAGGTCTTTATTCTTCACTATCATTGGTAACTTCTGTTAAATTACTTATTAAAGATACATTATGGACCATTAGATAAAGAACTGGCAGTTCTCACTATAATAGTTAAAAACTAGATAATGTAAAGGGAATATGCTGACAATTTTAGTCAAATTGATCCACTCTGAACCTAGATATTGGCAATAGAATTTTAGACCTAGCCTCGGTCATCATTACTAAAGTCGCTACGATAAAAAAACGTAGTCTCGATTATTTATTTATGGATTTAATCATCAATGAGCGTTGAGCAGATCGGATTCATATCCAGTGACGATCTGACATGTAAGATGGCATCGAGAGTTGATCAATGTCTTTTCATGGCAATAAATGTCTAATTAATAATTTAGATAAAATTTCAGGCCTAAAGAAAGACCGGCGATAGGCAGATTTAGCTCTTGCATAACACCGATCCTTTTACTTTTTATAATTCAGAATTTCATTTTACTTGTCTTTACTGCACAAGGATCTTGAAAACTTGTTATATTACTGGCGTCTTAGTTGAAGTGAAGGATTAGCCAATGAAACAGTCTGTTATGGCAAACTCTTGCTGTGTGATGCACAGAACCACTAGAAACATCAATGCTGATTGATTAATCAATGTATAACGTCATAGGGTCAAAAGCCACTAGTATGACCCCTCACGCGACCTTCCAGTACAACCGCTCAGATCTTCATGTGGTGTAGGCCATCAAAAGTATAAAACAACGAAACGAAATATAGATCTGTATTTTATTCAGATTGTTACACATAAAAACAAATGTATGAAATATAAAATGTATAGACCAAGAACTTCTACAACATTGTTGACCATAACATTTCAGTTTTCATTATTCATTAATTTAACAATGAAGATTACTGACTCGTCAAGAACTGGCTTGTATTTACAGTTTTGATATTTTGATTTGACTTTTTTCGATTCTAGAATGCTGCAATATGTTTTCAATACCGCTAAATTGAACTTAGTTCCTTTAGGAATAGTCTCTGGTCGAATCGGTATGTTTGCTGGCCATTTATACATGTACATGTATCTGTCCCTATAGTATATAGCTGCAATATGAAAACACTGTTCTTTCCCACCTCTGTTCTAAGGCTATTTTGGAAGCCTAAGAACAGAGGATAGGAACGGCTAGCAAACAGCATCCAGTCAGAGACTGTACCTGAAGGAACTACATGTACACTGCACTGCACTTTAGAAGGATTCATTCAATTATGCTTCATCTCAACTGGACGGCTTATCATCATTCTATAGGTGTAGGGGTTTCAAAAACATGTTTGACTATTGGTAGTAAAAATAGAAATGAAATGGGGTTTAACGTCCTACTGTTGTGCTCCAACTGGGCTAATGAAGATGGGCTTACGCCATACAGTGTGCTATAAATAAGGGAAATTTTGTCCGGACAGCATCACTATGGCCTACTCTTATATCGAATTCCAACTGCCAAGGGTTCTTTACATGCACGCCAATATGTACATGGGACCTCAGATTTCCGTTCCATCCGAAAAACTTAACAGCTGTCCTGTCCGGCCCTCCGTCTTGCACCACTGACAAGGGGAAACCACACTGGAAAATCCTGAAGAACTGCGAACCCGCAACCTCCTGGTTATCAAGCCAGTGTCTTACTTACTTATCCACTGTAGAAACAGACTTGTGAAACTGGTGACTAGGGTGATAAGTAATGGGAGAGTTAACAAGAATATGAATCAAACCTACTATAATTGTCTGAGATGGCCCAATTAAAACAAAACTCCATAAAAAATGTTATTAACACATAAAATCTCACAAATTGCTTACCTGGTCTATTTTGAAAGATTGGATTTGTCATATTAACCACATCTCGTTTTTCAAGCGACGTTTTTATATTTACGTTATAATCCCATTCATTACGACTGCTTTCTTCTGTCCAATGAAACTCTGATTTGAGAATATTGCTTGTTCGTAAAAGTTGTTTGAGTTTTTTTAACGGCATACTAGAGGACGGACAATAAACCACAGTCGAGGGTGATAAATATCCTTTAATTTCATCTGCGATTCCTGGTAACTGAGACGGAAGAACACAGATATACAACAGATCTACAGATGACACTAATCTCTTGTTGCCATAGTAACAATCAACTCCTTTATGCTGTAAATATTCTGAAAGAAGATTGTTAGGAACATACATAAAATAAAAATCGAAAGCAGAATCAATCCTTACTATTCCTATTCCGTAAAAAAGAAACTGCACATCAGAACGAATTTGACAAAATTGAATACCTCTACATCAATTGGCCTTGTCACATGAGTAAAATCTTATAATGGCAAGTGGTACGAAATGTCCTCATACCGAAACCACCTAATTGCAATCATGTTAAAACGTATAGTCGTTAGGATGGGATGAAAACCGGAGGTCCGGTGTAAAACGACCCTCATAGAATACTGTATGCCCGTCTTCATACAGTCCCGTCATAGCAGAACATGTTTCATTTTACTTTTTTAGGTTTAACCCTTTTAACCCAAGCTGAAAGCACTGTAGTGGCCACAATAGGAGCAGCCAAAATGTTCTCCTCTGAACTGGGCTAATGAAGACGGGCATACGCCATACAGTGTGCTATGAAGGAAATTTTGCCCAGACAGCAGCACTACAGCCTACTCTTATATCAAATTCCTACTATCAAGGGATCTTTTATGTGCATGCCAATGGTTTTTCATCCCTTCTGAATGACGATTCGTCCTGCATCACTGACAAGGGGGGACCACGCCGGGAAATCAGGATCAACTTTCTCAGTCAATACAGGGATCGAACACCCGACCTCCAGGCTAGCGAGCCAGTATCTGACCCACTTAGTCACCATGACCGCCGCCCCCTTAACCAAGGGGCAGCCAACTGGCATCATTATCATAAACAGAGATATATTTTGTACGCCCAGTACAAAGGGTGAGTTCTGTTTTCTTGTTTACGTCCAGCTGTCAGACATCAAGGTACATGTAACAACTACGACTCATTTATGGAACCATAATTATTATCCAGTAACATTATTGACAATAGTATTTAAGAGTCGATTCAAAACGTTTTATGAACTAACCGACATAAATGTCATGAGAAACCAATTAGAGTTACCTAATGTTTCAGGTCTTCTAGTTGATATTTGTAAGTTTTGTAGATTCATTCGACCGAACGTAATCAAACAATGAGCAATCTGACTTCCTAATCTTCCGCCACCCAATATACCAACTTTAACACTGTCTTTTGTTTCATTGATATCATGTAAAATCATCGCAGTTTTTCTTGAAGTACTTTGCAGTTGAGCTCTCAATTGCCTAAAAATTGAAATAAAAGAGACATTAGCACATAAATGAGACATGGCAGGATTGAACTTTCAATCAAATTACAATACAAATATATATTTTGTTTTGTTTTTTAATACTTCCAATTGCCTCTACTACATGAAGATCTGAACAGTTGTAGTGGGAGGTTGTGTCAGAGGTCTTTAACAGTGGGACAAAACTGGAGGATCCGGGGAAAAAAACCCACGAGGTGGGACAAGCGACCCTACTCCTTGTCACATACAACCGGGGAATCTAAACTATGCCAGTTGACTCAATGACAGACCTTATGATACAACACGCTAACCATTCGGCCATCCATTCTAACCCTCAAAATTAGAATTAACCCGTTGAGGTTATATGACGTCCTGGACAACTGCCACTCACTGTGTGTAGGGCGTAATATAACACCTTGGAGGTATTTTCAGCAACCTATTCTTAGAACATAGTACATAGTTCTTCGTCACTTCGTCAAATTAATTACACAATGGGTAGTTAACGTTTTAAAAACGTCACGCTTAACGGGTTAATGAAGTGCAAAAAAAAAAAAACGCACCTGACTTCGCTCAAAATATCGGCTAAATATATGGAATGTGCGCATATTGATACAGTTATCGCGTGCGACCTGGATCTAAGTGATAAAAGTTCTTTTTCTTCATCCGTTAAAGCACTTTCAAACTGTAAAGATGGTAAACGTCTTGTAATATCATAAGAACTGTCAGAAGACGTGTTGTTAAGACGTTGTATCATCGCCATCTTTGTTTCTACGATAAATGACGCATGCGTCAACTTAACTTCCGACAATAACTTCCGATTGTAAGTAAACATGAAAATTATTTCATGTTTCCTATTACTTTTTATATCAGTCCTGCACTCATTAACCACATATCCAGCCACATAAGAAATATCTAATGATAATTAATTGTCATCAAGAGTATTTAATTATGACTGAAAGCAACCATATATCTTAGATAATTGATAGGCCTACCATTCCCCGCACTGCTTTGTTTGCAAGAATTTAATTTCTGCTTTGTTTTGAGACCCTGTGTTATATATGGCTACAGTCAGAAGAGCATTATGACATCCATGATCTATCTGACAACAGTAGAGATCTTACCATATATTATATGGGGATGGTCGATTCACAGTCCATAACGTCCTGATTTGACAGAATTGCAATTGAGTAACGCGGAATTCAGTCCTGTCACAGTTCTGTCAGTCCCGAATACGGAGGTGGTGTGTGTAGAATCGTGACATAATTAAACACAACAAATATGTTTAAGCTGCATAGTTGGTTGAGATATTTACTTATTTAGTCAACACATGCGTTGTAGTCCGGAGTCTGCCTTTTCAGTCGCTTGTCACTATTTTTGTGATTGAGAGATTTCAATTCCGGAATGTTGAATCGAGTACCCCCTATGTTAGTGGGAAAAGGTGACTTTAGGAGGTAGGCCTACATGATATCATATTTAAACATGTAGGCCTACATACATTATGCAAGAGCTAAATCTGCCTATTGCAGGTGTTTCTTTATGCCTTAAATGTTATATAAACTAGATATTTAATAACATAATCAAATCTCAATGCCATTTGATGGGTTCGACCTGATGAGCCCGATTTTCAACAGATTTGAATCCGATCTGCGGTTCATTGACTATTGATGATTAACATTGGTAACGATGACAATCAAGGCTACAGTGTTATTAAAATGAGGATTTCTCAGATCACAATGAAGTAATTTGATTGATTGGAGTGTGGAGTTTAAATGGAGTTGCCTCCCTTGTATGTCTTAGAAATTTCCAGAATTATGTTTACAAATGAAATGATGTTGCACAGCATAAGAAAGAAGATGAAACAAAATTGATTCAGGTTGTTTAAATCAGCTGAGTTCTAATTGATCACAGGTCATGGGTGGATCGATAATAAATTATGCATCCATATTGGAGAGTCAATGTGGCATCAGAAATAACAAAGTCAATTTACTTACTATTCTGGTTCTATTATTGATGGAGGTCCTAATGATAATCAAATATCCTAGTTGTTTGGATGGGACAAAAAGCTGTGGTCCCATGTACACATTCCTTGGTAGTTTGAATTCGGTATAGGCCATAGCGCCACTGTCTCAGCAAAATGTTTCTTATAGCATTCTGTATGGATGGCATATGCCTGTCTTCATTAGTCAAGTCAAGAGCAGAACAGTTATACATTAAACCCCATTTCATTTCATTTGTGATCCAGGATACAATAAAAAAAAGGGTGAATACAAATTCTATTACATTTTATTTTTTTTTCAGAATTATCAATTGAAGAGTTATTTAGAATAAATTAAACTTTGAAAATGACACATTACAAGGGAGCAGCCTCAGAAGGAGGAAGAGCAATGAATCTGATCAAGAAACGACAGAAAGAACAGGATCAGTTGGAGATGAGAAAGAAGAAAATAGAAGATGAATTAAAGGTCGGAAGTATTGATAAAAAATTTGCAGCACATTATGATGCTGTTGAACAGACATTAAAATCCAGTACTGTAGGTAAGATAGCAATCAGTTACCATCAGTAAGTCCCGAAATGACCTAGTTTGTTGAGTGGACATTAAACCCCATTTTGTTCTCTCTGTTTTCAGGTTTAGTAACTTTAGATGAAATGAAAGCTAAACAAGAAAGTGTAATTAAAGAACGAGAGAAACAAATGGCCAAAAAAAATGCTCAAGCTAAATTAGTTGAAAAAGAGAAAGAAGATAGAAAGAGAAAAGAACAAAAAAAGGTAAGATATGAACCAATCTGATTAAAATACAGATCTATATTTCATTTCGTTTTTTTATAATTTCGATGGCCTACACTACATGACGATCTGACCGTCATGTCAGTGGTCGTATGATTGGCTTTTGACCCTATGACATAGTTTACCTACAGTTCCGTGCATCAAACGCCACTCCTCGTAACAGACCGCTTTATTGGCTAATCCCTCACTTCAACTAGAACTCCAGTAATAAAACAACTTTTCCAGATCTTTTGAGCAGAGTTGAGTTTTTATTCGTTGCCCCCAGAGTTATGGCCCTTGTCACTTTGAAAAATCTTGTGGATGCTCTAGAGACAAAAGTTTGACTGAAAACCATACGGTTGAAGGACACGAGAACAAGGTCCCTAATGATTGTCAACAATTTCCAATAATTACTGCCAGAGTTATAGCCCTTGATCACATCACAAAAACCTGGTGAGAGCTCGAGACACCAAAGTGTTAGCATGGGGCAGAACTAGAAGTCAAAAATATCTGAATAATAACTTAACAGGTTGATACAATAAAAAAAATATGTGACAACCCTTGTGGACTGCTTGTACGACTTACCTGCTGTGGGTGGGCATATGTTTTGTTGCCTGGTACACACATCTACCTATTCAAGTAGTTGTGCCTTTAGCTAATTCAGATTTAATCATTTTTGTGTTTCCATAGAAACAGAATTGACTTAGTTTTTGGTAAACATGGAAGATTGATGACTGAGTTTTCTTGTTTTGATTATTGTAGATCACATTATTATCATTTGATGCTGAAGGTGACGACGAGGAAGAAGAAGATGAAGAAATGGAAATTGAAATACCCAACAAGAAAAAACGGCTTGGTTAGTTTGTTTTAATAATATTAGATATATAACCATCTTTGACTTGTTTTACACTATGGTTTCTCTGGGTTTTATTCCTGATTGTTTTCAAATTTGAGTGAAGTTTGTGTCACTACAGACCCGGAACTGTACCGCGCAGTGGGCGCTTACGGCTAGCCCCAGGATCCATGCACTTTATTTGAATTGTGCGTCTGTTTGTGATTTCTGCGTATTATGTCTTGTCCATATATTTGTTTTTGTGTAAATTATGTGTGGTGCAGTCCCCCTGCACTTACTATTACAGCTATATGATTATTACCATTACCACCTATTGACAGTTGAGGACTGTTAGTTGCTTGTGCGTTCCTTGGTATTCTCGAGACTTGATTACTGCAACAGTGCTTTTATTGGAATTCCCCAAAATCTGTGTGTAAAACTCAAAAAAATTCCTCTCCCTTGACTCCCATCTTAAAATCATTACATCGGTTACCCATAGATGCCCGGATAAGGTTCAAGATTCTAACATTGGTTTATATGTGTCAACTGATCTCATTTAGTTGTATCAACCAAATCAATCACTTCGCTCACAAAATAATTCCTCATTGGTTGTGCCGCAAGATAAACTGAAATCCTATGGGGATAAAACCTTTAGTGTCCGTGGTCCACATCTGTGGAGTAACTTACCATTGGAGATACAGAGTTCTCAAACATTAGCTGTGTTTAAATCCAAACTCAAAACTCATTTGTTTGTTACGTATTATCAGGATTAGCTATTTTCAGAGCATGCAATATGGAGTGAAAGCAATCATAAATGTACATTTTTATTATTACCACAAAGTTGATGTTATATTATTAAACACGCACGGTGTACATATTGTACAGAAATATAATATTTTATTATACATAAATAAAATAAAACCAATTCGAACAATCCAAACCATTAGACGAAATTCGAAATTCTAAAAAAAAGCTATCGGCAAAATAGTGTAATCAGCTAATGGACTGTTCATTGTGTATTGTTTATATTTTATACATATTTGTTGGTACCATCTTTATCAAATCATATCACTTTAATTAATAATGGTATGTACAGTAAAATCTGTATTCAGCTGCCACTCAAGGGAATTGTTGTGACTGACCCTTTAACCGGAGTGACCTCTCATAACATGAGATAGTTTATGTATTATTTATATATTGTAGGTATGAATCCAGAAGTAGATACAAGTTTTTTACCGGACAGAGACCGAGATGAAGAGGAAAATAAACTTAGGTATCTAATTCATTTCTATATATTTTGAATTCACGCTGGGTGGCCTTCGGATATAGACTATGGTTGCTTCTACTGTCTGAACTATCCCGCCCATGCTCTATCATATGGTATGGCTGGTCACGATGTCAGGTTGAACTATAGTACGAAAATCCGTGCAACCAGTATGTGGGTTATATAACAACTTTTCAGATCCTAGTGTAGTAAAGACTTATAAAACGAAATTTTGAACTATAAAAAACGAAACGAAATGAAATGAAATGGGGTTTAACGTCCTACTGTTCTGCTCCTAACTGGGCTAATGAAGACGGGCATACGCCATACAGTGTGCTATGAGGGAAATTTTGCCCAGACAGCGGCACTACGGCCTACTCTTATATCGAATTCCAACTGTGCAAAAAAATGAAACGAAATAGGATCTGTGTTTTAATCAGATTGTGTACACAGAGGACCTCAGATTTTGTTCCATCTAAACAACTGGACACTAAATGTCTTATGACTATAATCATGCTATTACAAGAGTTATTCCCCTTTAGTCTTCAGAAAACTCAAATTTATTTACCAGAACTTTGACATGTATTTCAAATAAAATTGCGAGCCATGTGATAAAGAAAGGAGAGGTGGTAACAGGTGTGCTAGAATAAGAAGCATTCCCTGTCTAGAACACTGCATAAATCTATTTGGAGAGACATTTTTAATTTGAACATGAAGTTACATGCAGCAGGAATTTAATAATCAGCAAAATGTTCCCCCCAAGCTTATTTGGGGGGGGGGGGGGTGTTGATGGCCGAATGGTTAGCACGCGCGCGTTGTATCATACGGTCTGTCATTGAGTCAACTGGCGGGGTTTCGAATCCCGGGTTGTACGTGACAAGGAGTAGGGTCGCCTGTCCAACCTCGTGGGTTTTCTCCGGGTCCTCCGGTTTCCTCCCACTGCTAAAGACCCCTACGCGCAAGCGAATTATTGAAATAAAAAAATTAAACCATATGTTTGTCCCGAAATGACCTAGTTTGTGTTGAGTGGACATTAAACCCCATTTCTCTCTCTCTCTCTCTCTCTCTCCCAAGCTTATTTGATAAATAATCCATATCTTAAATTCCCCCTCCACTCCCCAAAGTATTTTTGTGTTGAAGAATCTTCACATATTATGTGAAGTTGTATATGAATAATTACTTCTTACTATGTTGTATGTTATGTGCTTTGTGTTTATCATTGTTTTTTTTTTATTTTAATTAATTTTATTATTTAGATATTTTGTTAACATTATTTACTTATATGTAAAGTACTTTGAAGCACTTCGGTAGAGATTGAGCTGAAATGAAATGAAATTTAATGTCTTGATTTTCTACACGTATCAGGCTAATGGATCTTAACAGATGCACATGACCTCAGTTTTTTTTACTCTCATCCGAGGAACTAGATGCTCGTCCTTGCTATGCCATCAGGGATGCAACACTGATAAGCGGAAACCAGACTCAGTTTTTCATATCAGCCGTATAACTACATGTAGATGCTTTTCCTTGATAGGCCACCTGTCCTACATCAGACTGAAAAATCAGCAGGAATTGTCTTAGCCAAACGGGTGGTTCCAGTATCATACACACCAAGATACCATGACTCGGGAGACAGTACTATGCATTGTAATAGTTATAATGATGTATTAATTATGTATTAACCTTGTTGTATATTTTACAGGGAACAACTACGTCAAGAATGGGAAGAAAAACAGGAACAAATAAAGAAAGAAGAAATCGATATCACCTACAGTTACTGGGATGGATCGGGACACAGACGCACGGTTAGGATGAAGAAAGGCAACAACATGCAACAATTCTTACAAAAATGTCTGGAAAGTTTGCGTAAAGAATTTAATGACTTGAAATCCGTCACTGTAGATCAACTAATGTACGTGAAAGAAGATCTCATCATACCCCATCATTATTCATTTTACGACTTTATCGTAACCAAGGCTCGTGGGAAAAGCGGTTCGTTGTTTAATTTCGACGTCCATGATGACGTGAGAATGGTGAATGATGCTAAAGTCGAAAAGGATGAATCGCACGCGGGTAAAGTGTGTTTACGAAGTTGGTATGAAAGAAATAAACATATTTTCCCTGCTAGTCGATGGGAACCTTACGATCCAGAGAAGAGTTGGGAAGGCTACACTATTTCTGATAAAAACGCTGCTAAGATTACTGTCAAGTGAAAATTGAGACCGTTTCAAGAAAAGAAAGTCATAAATTGGGTCGCATATCTAAAATGATGTGCTTTATGTGGGATGTTTTGTAGCAAACTGAATTGTGCTGCATATCTTAAAAGTTGAAATTAATATGGGTTAAGATATGACAAACTGAATTGTGGTGTATATCTGAAAGTTGATGTTAATGATATAAAATGTGACAAACCAGAATATGATAAATATATTGATTATGATCCACGCTTTATGCTAGAGAGATGCTTCAGACATTTCTATTGATAAAAACTGTCCCCTGTAAAACATGAGGGGACTGTAGATTTCGTCTTCATCAGTCTGTTCGACTGTCTCTTTTATTTTTCCTGATTTTTTTCAAATTAAAATTTAAGATCGTTAAATGAAATTTAGTACACTACCATTCATTTCTGAGGTACAGATCAAGTTTGTTTTTGGCGTTATCCGCTTCTTACAAATGTTATATTGTAAAACTTGTTTCGTCCTGTAGGTGACGTGCATTTTGATTCAGCAATCTGCCCTGGTTATTTTTATGGACACTTCTTACACAAGGAGACAAATAAACATTGTAGTTAAAATCTTTCAATATCAACTTACACCCTGAACATGTAATGGATGCAGGATTTGTTTATTAGTATAAATGTTGATGGATATTGAATAAATTGTTATTTGTAATGAAGCTGCGTTCACAATTTTTTTCTATACTGATTTTGGCTTAAACATGCATTATGCAAGAGCTAAATCTGCCAGTAAATGTTATCTAAATATGCAATTAGACATCAATTAACTTATCCGGACCTTAACCAACTCTCGATGTCATCGCTAGCTTGCGATATTTACTGGATTATAATCCGATCTGCTGCTCAACACTCATTCATGATTAAATCAAAAAATGGATAATCGAGACTATGTTTTTTATTGTACCGACTTTAGTAATAATGATCGAGGCTAGGCCCAAAATTCAATCGCTAAATTCACGGTTCAGAGTGGATCAATTTGACTGAAATTTTCAGCAAATTCCCTTTACATTATCTAGTTTTTAACTATTATAGTGAGAACTGACAGCTCTTTATCTAATCTTCCATAATGTATCTTTAATTACATGAAATATGAAAGATATTATCTTCAATACATGCATGTATGTGACTTGGTTGAATAATAAAAGCCCGAAATATTCCCAGATTGATTGCAATTTGGTACAATTACGACCCAAGTCTTTATGTATATTTTTTCTTATATAAAAATAAAAGTTTGAAATGGTGGGAATTGTATAGCACAGGAGAATCTGATGGAAATTTTGCCAAGACAGCATGTACTTTTCATAAAATAAGATTCCAATTGCCAACATATCCCGGAAATAATGGCCCGAGAAATCCCTCTCTGGCCATTGCTGGATTGACATCTGATACTTGAGCTTTTGAGGAGTGTGTCTATTCTTCCTGTTCTATTAAATCTATCCCAAGTACAGAAACATGACAGCCCTTTGTTTAATCTGGGGTCTTCCCTAAAACTTTGGACAGTGATTAAAAACGACAAAAGTATTGTTCGTCTCCAAGCAGTATTGTTTACATTGTAGCCGTTTTGATAGCCTCGTTTGTCACCCAATTAGTTTTTCTGCAATATTCTGCTATGCACTGGTTAATTGGGCGTAATAAATTTCATGAGTCCTTATGTAAACATATCTGGAGCTCTGTTTAAAGCCAAATAATATTGTTATGCAGTTAGGTATTGGTTGTTGATCGGACTATTGACCAGTCATAATTTGGAACAGAATCTGCTTTCGTTCAAACGAAACACTGCGAGGAGTATGATTGCCAAGGTTTCTATAACGTCCATGGCAACTTGTATACAGGATTTGAGTTTTTTTATTCCATTTGAAGGACTAGACACTGTTCCTTGCCAGGCCCTCTGTCCTACACTGCTGCGTAACTTGGTAATATGTAATCAAACAATTCAGAATTCCGATGGCAGGTTTCCTTTTTAACCCGAATCCTTGCGAAATTTGAAAATAACTCAACCTGTAGACCCAATGAATAATCCCCGATGAAAAAGAACTCAAACCCAGGGAGTTATCAGAAGATATTGTGCATGGACGAAGTTGACAACATTATACATCCACGTAAAATGAAATGGGGTTTAACGTTTAATGTCCTACTGTTCTGCTCCAAATTTTCTGAACTGACTGGGCTTATGAAGATGGGCGCAATCCATACAGTGTGCTACAGGGGAAATTTTTCCCGGACAGCTGTAAATTTCTCAACCTACGTCGGGATTGAACATTGGCAACTCCAGGTTAGCAAGCCTGCACCTTACTCACTGAGTCCCTGTGGCTGCCAAGTCTGTATTAAACATACATTATGCAAGAGCTAAATCTGCCTATTGTAGGTCTTTCTTTAGGCCTGAATGTTATATAAATTATTAATTAAGACATTTATTAACAAAACAAGACCATAATCGACTCTCGATGTCTTATCTGTCCGATTTTCACTGGATTTGAATCCGATCTGCTGTTAAACGTTCAGCACATTCCATTTACATTATCTAGTGTTTAACTATTATAGTGAGAACTGTCAGCTTTTTATCTAATCTCCCATAATGTATCTTTAAGAGTGAGTGAATAAAAGACAGAACCAAAATCGACAGCAAAATATTTATTTCTTTTATAGACAAAAAGCATAAGAAGTTAGTAAGAGATTAATTATTGAGGAACACAATTTTAACATGGAAGACACCTACTATCAATCTACATCCTAAATATTTCACAATCTGTTCTCGTTAAATCTACCATAGTATACAAACATATACAGAACGCATCCTCACTAACAACCAATCATAGATCTTGTACCACATCACCAACGGATACGGCACAACGTGTCGTAGATCTTGTACCAATCACTAAAGAATACAGCACAAATCATATTACTTTTCATAGATTTGCAAAAAAAACATAAGTAATCCTTATACAGAACTTGTCATAGATCTAGTACCAAATCACTAAAGAATACAGCACAAATTATCTTTATTTTTCAGATATTTGAGAGAAAAATGTAGAATAATTATTTTTAAATATAATAATAAAGGGAGGGGGTTGAGATGTGACCAATTTAATGTTTTGACAAAGACTTTCTGAATTCTAAAAGGAACTGGTTAATTTTTTCTAAAACAAAAAGTGGGGTGGGGTGGGGAGTGGGGGGGGGGGGCTATAGCTAAATGTACAAGAAAAAAAACCACTTACATGTTCATATTTAATTACATTTATCTTCAATTGTCAAGTTTATAGATACATTATGTAAGGACTAAATCTGCCTATTGCAGGTCTTTCTTTTGGCTTCAAATGTTATATAAACTAATATTGAAACATTTATGACGAGACGAGCCTATAATCAACTCGCTAGAGCAGGACGTTGAACTCCCATTTCATTTCATTTTCTCTAAAACTACTAAAAAAAACATTAAAGCTTAGCTAGGTAATAAACTAATTACATCACATTTATATGGAAAACAAAATTAAACTGTTTTCTTACTTAAACTCCAATATAAAGTCCCAAGGCACTTTATCTAATAAATAAAATAAATATGCAATTACTAATTTTAAATCTAATAACTGGTCAAGATTTATAATACCCTAATGGCAAGCAATACTTTCAAGAGAGTAGGCCTTCATGCTAATTGTGAACTATATTACATTGACTTGTATTTATTTTATTAAGAGTCCAATGAGAGGCAGAGATTTTCTTTAAAGTTTTGAATTTCTGATAAACCATATGCCCTATAGATCTAATAGAGTTTCATTGACTAAATAAATACATGACATCATGCAACAATTCAAAAGAACAAAAGTGTTGTTCTTTGGTTTGAATAAAAACCATTATGATTTGAAAATCAAATGCAATACAAATGACAATTATGTACAGGTACTCGTTTGACAAATCAATATTAATTTGTGTTCTTAACAAGACCTGAACCATCTGCCTTTACAAAAAACATGAATGATTTTATGAATAAATTTTTCAGGGATTTATAATGCCAGGAAATATTCAGATCATAATGTGAAATTATGAATTTTGTTGTCAAATCCAGTCCAAGGATCGAGTTTATTTTCATTTAAATTTGCTGAAAGTTATTTATATTTTCAATAAAAGATTTTAAGAATTTTCAAATCTGAACTATTTACCCTTTGAGTGACCAGATTTCCGACCTTGACGTGGGATTCAGACCTTTATTTGTTGGCATCCAGACTTTGGACGTCAACTGTTTGTAAGACAAAATGGAACATGGGAAGGCAACTTTGTAGTGCCCCCCATGTTTTTAAGTCCTGGGGCCTGCTTCACGAAATTTTAACTAAGATAAAATCCAAATTTTAGTAATTTGATTGGATAATATTAGATTGATTTTAGTGCTTAGCCAATCAAAATTGAAGTATCTAATAAAATTGGATTTTATCTTTAGTTAAAATTTCGAGAAACTGGGCCCAGACGTCCGATGCACTTATCCACGAACCCATAGTAGAGGCAGTGAAACATTCCGGAACATTGGCAGTCAAAGGGCTAAAGATTAATTTTTCAATACGTGAAAACAAAGAGATGAAGAGCAGATACAAATTTCAGCACAACTGGCAAACAAGGTGATTGGCGCCCGAGTTCTTCGAATTGAAAATGGGCTGGTGTTAACACATTACTGAATGTTAGGTTTATTGCACTTCAAATGAACATTTCTTAATTCACTAGACATAATATCAATATTTGAACTATTCAAATTTAATTAATTGAATATCAAATAAAACGTGTCTAAATTTTTTTGACATAATATCCATATATAAACTATTTGAATCTAATTACTTGAATATCAAATAAAATCCAAGACATATATTTATATATGTGATATAAACAGAACAATTTTAAAACTTATTTCAAACAATTTTTGAAATTAATTAAATAAAATAAAATATTATAATTTGATGACTAATCAAAAATGTCATGCAAATTAAATAAGCACTCTTACAATAAAATTAGGGACATGCAGGTAACAGAACATCGTCAGACAAAAATCGAGAACCCATCCAAATAAAAATGAAGGACGGTTAAATTAAACATCTAACCCATCTTCCTGAAGCAACGACCACATTACCACAAGTTTTACAACATCTAGACGTTGCTAGACTGGTCTGCAATTTTGAAATTTATAGTTACGTTATCTCCCTTTAATGATGATATGTGAACAATAGCATCCAATCAGAGGTTGTGACACAAACACACTCAAATCAACCATGGCGACCTCCATGGAAGCCTCGACATTGAACGAAACTTGAACTTTGCAACTCGATTATCACTGGCATATATTTTAGCTGGAAAGTGCAAGACTTAGTATTCACGATGATCGAGAAATCTGATAGGCCCCCAGCTTGATCAGGAACCAATTGAAATTAGTGCTGAAATACGCAGGGTATTACGTGAAGGGCTTGATAAGATGTAAGGAGTTAAAGCGAGATCAAGCCGTTTATTGAAGATGCATCTAACCAAGATTCCGGCACTAGCAATACATATATTTATTTCTTAAAAGCTGAACTCCATCTGTCATAGATATTTCAAAATTATTTTTGGGGGGCAACATATAAGGCCAATGATATACCACCAGATTGAATTTGACCTGTCTATTGTCAAAGTACCTTTGCCTGCTCACACATTCAAATTCTCATATTTACTCGATTGACACTTTCAAGAGAGCGAGAGAATTCCATTCTGTAATACTCAATCAAGAATTCCCTAAAGATATCTTATAACATCTACACATAGGGAATAGTCTGGTCAGAATTGGAATAAATTCCTGATTTTGTCTGGCAACATTCTGTCCCCTGGAAGCCAAACATAGCTTTGGTTGAAATTTAATACACAATATAATAATAATATAACAAGAATAATATATAATGATGAGATATTCACACAATGAGCACTGACACATATAATAATAATAATAATAATACAGTAACATTATAGTAACTAATAAATGATGAGATTGGAGATAAACATATCTATTACATCAAATAAAGTCAGAGACTCACAGTCATAAAACTTTTATTTTACTCAACCTAAGAATTACGGTACTCAAATATGTAACTGAAAAAGTCAGAAGCAAAGGTCAAAGTTTTTTTGTTGTTTTTTTTTATATTACTCAACTTAAGAATTACTCAAATCTAATAAGTCAGAGGCATAGAGTCATAAACCATGAGTCATAAAACTATTTTTTAACCCAAATTTGTCACTAATAAAGTCCAAGTCATAAAACTCATACTTTACTCGACTAAAGAATATCTCAAATAGTATCTATAAAAGTCAGGGACCCATAGTCATATAACTTTTATTTTTACTCAACTAAAGAATTAGTCAAAAAATGTTTATCTTATTCAAATTAAACATTACTCAATAGTTATAAAACTTATTTTACCCAGCTTAAGAATTACTCAGATCTCGATCTTATAAAGTCAGCCATATAACTTATATTTTACTCAAGAATTACTGAAATGTGTATCTAATAAGTCTGGAGCCCAGAGTCATAAAACTTTTTATTTTACTCAACTTTAGAATTACTCAAATCTGTTACTAATAAAGTCAAGGACCTAAAGTCATCCAAATCATATTTTTTCTATTTTATATATAAGAATTACTCAAATATCTCACTAATAAAGTCAAGGGTTCAAGAAGAACTTTGTAATTCTTAAGATGAGTAATCATGAAGTCTTAATCCATGAATATGTGGCCTTACATATGAATAGTAAAATAATGCGTCGTAATAACTATCTAAACAAAATATTTCTTTCATTAAAATTGTTCACCTTTTAAAGAAAGATGAAAGCAGATATTTTTAAAATATCCAAAAACCATACGAATACCATTAAAAGAGCAGCAATGACACAAAATGATTTGCGTTGCTAATAAATAAGAAAGTTATCTGCAGTTCTAGATAGGAGATGTGTGGCCACATTAATATCAATTTGTTTTTGATCTTAAAAGCCCAATAAATGTACAAACAATGTTTAGCTCTGGGAACAATTATCAATAGAATCTATAACCACTAATAAAACAACTAATTTACTTAAAATATCATAACTATTAATATGTGACAGATGACGACTGTAGTCAAAACATGTAACATAGTAATCAGGGCCGTTTTTGTCCCCAAATTGGGCCCTGCAGTTGAATGGGACCCTGCAGCTCACCAACTTGTAAATGTTTCAAGCAATCTGACAGCAGGGCTGCCAGGTGTGGCTATTTTCAGGTATTTATCAATTACTAAATGTGAAGTAAACCATAGTTGGCCTTAAATATGAATGAATAGAGATCTAGTTAAAGTTATTCATATCTTGCAATGCTTTCATTTCCTGTAACTTCGGGTCTGCCAAATTGGACCCGGCATTTTCTACAACCGGCCCTAATGGTAATATATAGACCAGAACTGGAACCCATCATGATTACATCACCCACATCTTGGAACTGCGACATCAGTCAATCGATGCACAGTTGTCCAAGGAACAAGCCTGTCAAGATTCATGTCAATTGTACTTGAATTGACAGAGCCTTATGCACTTTTCAAGGAGAGCGTCATCTCCAAGAGAGACAAACAAGAAGATGATTAGCACTTGGGCCCCCAGTTCCTGGTATAAATAATGCGAAAACTTTAGTATAATGAGCCATTTTGAAAAATAGGTGTTGGACCTTTTCAGTAAAGGCTAATATATATATCTAATAAGAGCGTACATAAAATCTAACTACTTCCTCAAAACATTAATAAATCACTAGTTTAAAATACGGAAGACTAGCTACATTTTACCTAGAATGTGAGACGCTCGCTTAAAACCGTGAGATTAGCATATTAAACCACTGAGAATTTGCTAGCGGGTGACAGTTCTCAATCGAGTCATATTAACAGGCGAGTGACAGCTTTAAATCGGTTCTAGATGAGTCATATTACTGCGTGAAATTACCGTAGTTAACCACTGACAATTTGCTAAATTGAGTCTTGACAAGTCATATTAACACAGCTTATCGAGTCTTGACTAGTCATATTAACACAGGTTATCGAGTATTGATTAGTCATATTAACACAGCTTATCAAGTCTTGACTAGTCATATTAATACAGCTTATCGAGTCTTGACGAGTCATATCAACACAGCTTATTGACACTCATTGTTCTTTAAAATAACAGCACTTTACTAAACATGAATTTTACACTAGAATCAAGCACAAGTTTTTCTGTTAAAATTTATACATTTTTAAACATTTATATTCTTAGAAATTGAGCTCTTTCAGCCCAGCATTACAAAAATACATGAACAGTGATTTCTATTATATAATGACCTCTAAATGGAATGTACATTGTATTTTCTGTGCTAGAAAAAAGCAAATATAATTCATTCCTATATATAATATCGATTTATGAAATTTATTATTAGATCAAAACAACTAAAATAAAAATAAACAATCATTTTTCGTTATTATAGGGACTAAACGATCATCCAACCCTTTCTTTTTAGATTACAATTTTCCTGGATTACAATTACAATTTTCCTGGATTACAATTACAATTTTCCTACATTACAATTTTCCTACATTACAATTACAATTTTCCTAGATCACAATTTTCCTAGATTACAATTTTCCTAAGGTGTACCGGTACTTAAAATGTTGAGCAACTTATCTCTGAATTCTATTAAAATTCCAGTTTAATATATAATATAGAAGTAATACTGTTTTCAGATTTTTAGACTAAAATTCAAATAGCTAACATACATTGTGTATTGTATAAATAGTTTTAGTTTACACACCTCCAGACTATATCTCCCATAGCAACTATATAGATATTTTAAGGTGGCTATTCCGTGTATCAACCTACTATAAAGTCATTATGCGTATGCGATATTAACCTCCAATAACCACATGCTTTTATTTTCACACGCACATGGTAAGCAAAGGTTGATACTTGGCGATTATCTTACAGTTTGTGTAAATGTCAGATAGCGTCCTATTTCCACAATTTTCATTTGAAATAAAAACAGGGGTCTCCAAAGTTATGATTTTTATTTTGAATAATAACATGGAAAACATACACTGTCTGTTACTGGTGGAGTAAACAGGGTCTCCAAAGTTATGATTTTTATTTTGAACAACAATGTGGAAAACAGTTGCTATCAACTAAATACACTGTCTGTTACTGGTGGAGATATACTCTGTGTATTTGGTGACTTTTGGCAAGGTATATGGAAATGAGACAAATTAGTCAATAGTTGAGTTAATATAAGTACTAAAGTATTGTAACTTTTCTTGGTCGAGTTAATTAAAAAGTACTAAAATATTGTAACTTTTCTTGGCTATAACTTTCGATTGTGTGTCTTACAGGTATTTATGTGTGGTGGAGTCTTCCTTCACTTACTTTTATAATCATCAGCATGTAGCATACAACTAAATGGAAGATTAATTTAAAATAATAAAAATATCGACATGTCCATCATACTATTCCTATCAAATCGTAATTAATTTAATATTCCTGTTTATAATAGGGACTGAAAGGAACATTAAGTAAAACATTTCCTTTTCGAAATGAATATTAATTATTTTACTACTAACAAAGGCAAATTTCATCCGTGGAAAAAAAGGGAGAGACATCTGTCATGGTGTGGGGACACATGTTTTTTACTGTTTTCCATGTTCCAAACTTGCTACTATGATCGTTCAGATCACCACCATCAAACACGGAATATTTATCTTCTGATAATGGTCGATTAATCAGTCAATTATAATATGCACGTGACAATTAAAGGAGATATTTACCACATGTACATACACATTAAACATAGATCTATTTAATAAATATCAACAGTTTCCGCATGTATCCTTTTTTTGTTAACAAGTACAATTTTACATTTAAAATTATTGTGTGCACAATTTACCTTCCATCAGTGCGTCATATTTACATTGTTTATTTTACAAGTTTAATTCTTGATACATAAAATAAATACAATTTTGGCGTTGTAACCATTTTGTCCATATCTCTTGTTCCATTTGCACATTCGCGAAAACAAAATTACAATCAAATGTCTGTTTTCTTACTGAACTTTAAATCAGTTCAAAAAATCTTCCAAGTTTCACTCTTGTTCCTCATTTATCCGTAATAACTTTATTCTTTCATTCCATCACATTTGTCCTTCTTTCACTCAGTTCTCTCATTTTCAAACAATTTCTCCAATTGTCTTGTTATCTTCTATAATGCTGAGTCATATAATCCAAAGATGGCCACCGGAAAATATTTGATGTGCGTCTGCCATTGTGATGATAACTGGAAAAACTTTACTCCGGTCCATTCTACGCTATCAACAACCACTGAAAAAAAACGGGGGAAAATTATGTACACATTTTTACAGATTCAGAGAAAGAAATTGGGTTTAACATCCATTCGACACGAACAAAGTCTATCCGGGACTAGCACATGGGGTCTTTAGTAGTGAGAGAAACCAGGTAAACCACAGAAACCCGGGGGTTTGGACAAGCAACTCTACTCCTTGTCATGTGACTCAATGACAACCCTTCTGATCCATAGCGCACGCGTTAACAATTCGACCACCCAACTGCCCCCCCACCACAGATTCTGATAACTCAGAAACCTTACTAGAGAGAGAGAGAGAGAGAGAGAGAGAGAGAGATGGCCTATTCAAGACTAACCTATGCTTCAATTTTATATCAATAATTCGCTTGCGCGTAGGCGTGTTTAAAAGTGGGAGAAAACCGGAGCACCCGGAGAAAACCCACGAGGTTGGACAAGCGATCCTACTTCTTGTCACATACAACCGGAGAATCGAAACCACGCGAGTTGACTCAATATTCTGTATTATAAGAGGAGATAACTATTTAACAGGTGGGCGTTGTATGGAGTTTGTGTTATTATAACATATTCTACACATCTTTATAATTTAAAATATCAAACTGCTATAGAAGAGATCATCCTTACCTCTAAGTGTAAAATATCAAACTTCTATAGAACAGATCATTCTTACCTCTAAATGTAAAATATCAAACTGCTATAGAAGAGATCATTCTTACCTCTAAGTGTAAAATATCAAACTGCTATAGAAGAGATCATTCTTACCTCCAAGTGTAAAATATCAAACTGCTATAGAAGAGATCATTCTTACCTCTAAATGTAAAATATCAAACTGCTATAGAAGAAATCATCCTTACCTTTAAGTGTAAAATTTTGACTTTTTGACGTACAGATGAGCCGACTAATACCTTCTATAACTTGACTTTTAGATTCTAAATCTTTTCCTTTCTTTCCTATTCTCATTACTAGAAAATAATAATAATATACAAGTTATACCATTGCTATACACGACACACCTATATTTTACACATTTTGGACGGACATATCATATTAAATATTCTTTATGTCCATGCCATAAGTCTCTAAAAAGTGCAGAGGTCGTTAGCAAGTCTGCAAGTCAGATGATTGAAGAAAACCAAGGAGAGAGAGGGAGAGAGGGAGAGAGAGAGAGAGAGAGTTTGACCTCCACTTGAGACAAACCAGGTCATTTCCAGACAAACATATGGATCAATTTCATTTCAACAAATCGCCTGTGCGTAGGGCACTTTAGCCGTGGTAGGACCCGGAGTAACCACACTAGAATGGACAGGCCACCCAACTTCTTGTCGGGTCCAAGCTGGGAATTGAAACCACGGAAATTAACTTAATGACAGGTCTTATGATCTAAAGCGCATGTGTTAAACTATTCACCCACTCAACTCATAAACATATTTTGTAATGCGGTCACCATTTGTATCAAGATATGCACTTACAAATGAAGTGGTTTTAACATCATACTTTTCTGCTATGAGGGCAATTTTGCCCAGACAGCGGCACTACAGGCTATTCTTATAAAGAATTCAGACTGTCAAGGGTAGTTTTACGTGCACACAAACGTGAACCCGGGTCATCATTTTTTTTGTCCATCTGAATGACTAGACACTATTCCTTGCCATATCCTCTATCCTGCACCACTGACAAGAAAGAACTACACTAGAAAATTCAGATGAACATTCTTGACCAACACCGGGATCACACATAGGACCTCCAGATTAACAAGTATTTGTTTAAACGTAAGCTAAATCTGCCTATTGCAGGTCTTTCTTTAGGCCTTAAATAAATGTTATCTAAATTATTAATTAGACATTAATTGACTTATCCAGACCATATTCAACTCTCAGTGTAATCACTAGCCTGCGATATTTATTGGATTTGGTCCGATTTCCTGTTCGACTTCCATTCATAATTTAATCATCAAATGGAAAACCGAAACTATTTTTTTTTATCCTACTGACTTTAGTAATGATGATCGAGGCTAGGCGGAAATTTCAATCGCTTAATGCTCGGTTCACAGTGGATCTATTTGACTGAAATTTTCAGCAAATTCCCTTTACATTATCTAGTTTTTAACTATCATAGTGAGAACTGCCATCTCTTTATCTAATCTCCGATAATGTATCTTTAAAAAACCAACAACAATGGATGTTACTCTCTAATATGGATTATTATTACGATCTGAAAATTTTTTTTTTACTTTTTTGTTTCTTTTCTCGTGTCACAACCATCATAGAGAAAGTCTGTGAAGTCATATCTCCGGTATACGGTAGACGAGATACATTCAGCGATCGGAAAGCTGTCTTCAGTGAGCATTTATTAGTATCCTTTTTACTGGCCTTGTCTTTATCAACCCCATCTGTCTTGGTGACCACGGTCCAATAATCTACTTGTAGTTCCACAAAATCACCCAGATTCATAGAACTGATACTTGGTATTTGGCTGCAATATAAAACATATATTTTAAAATAAAAGAAACAATATCAATTTAAAATTCAATTTACAGATGTAAATGTTTTCGTTCTGATGTATAACTACCAAAATGTCTTCTGCTTCAACTTAGCTAATGAAGATGGCTAGATCGACCATGCGTGTTCTACTCCCGTTTAGACTGTCTATAACAGCCACTCGACACAAACTAGGTCATTTTGGGACTAACATATGGTTTTAATTTTATTTCAATATATCGCTTGCGCGTAGGGGTCTTTAGCAGTGGGAGGAAACCAGAGGACCTGGTGTCAACCCACAAGGTCTAACAGACGACCCTACTCCTTGTCACGTACATCTGGGGATTCAAAACCACGCCAGTCGACTCAGATCGAACATGGACCCTTATTCACTGAGCCACTGTGGCTCCTTTTAAGATGTATAAAGCTGTGTAGTTTAGTACAAACCTTCCTGATGGAGACATAGCGCCTATATTAGGTGAACTGGGTGGAGTATGACCTTCTTTAGTTTTCTCTATAAGTTGTGTTGTAGTTGATGGAGGAGAACTTGATAAATTTGGTGGACTTGTAGCACCCTCTTCCATATCTACTATAATAACAATAATATCATATACACCCTCTTCCATATCTACTATAATATTTTAGACAGATATTCCTTTTAGAGATTCAACTTTTGCTATATTCTGAATGGAAGGGAGGGAGAGAGAGAGAAATGGGGTTTAATGGAAAGGAACCATTTTGGACTGACACTCCTGTTAGAGATTCAACTAGTTTGCAAGGCATTAAGAATCCCTCAAATGAGGATAAGAGACATAGTTTTTTTCTAAATCAGAAAGCATTCTATAAAGTTTTATATGAATAATAAAAGTTATGAGTCAACTCGACAGTTGTTATCTCACCTGACATGTTAAAGACTTCTGTTGTACCGATCTTTACCTCCTGAATAACAAATAAAACAAATAAAAAATAATACAAACCAAGATAGAATTGAATGAAATGCAAAGAATGTTATGGAAGGCAATTTAGTTTGCCTAAAAGAGTTTCTTTTTTCTAGAAACAAAATGAGAGAGAGAGAAATGGGGTTTAACGTCCACTCAACACAAACTAGGTCATTTCGGGACTAAGACATGATTCAATTTTATTTCAATAATTCGCTTGCACGTAGGGGGTCGTTAGCAGTGGGAGGAAATCGGAGGACCCGAAGAAAACCGACTAGGTTGGACAGACGACCCTACTCCTTGTCACATACAACCGGGGAATCGAAACGCCCCTTAAATCAATGACAGACCGTATAATACAGCGCACATGTGCTAACCATTCGGCCATCCAACCCGCCGATCACCGCAGCCCTCACAAACTACTGCAAAACTGCCAGATATCTTCTGCCTGTACTGAAACTTTTGTAGTTACAGAATTCAGGAATAATTAGCAAAACCTACTTACACTAACAAATGGTATAAATATTTGCTTAGCTTCATCAGAGCTGAAAAAATAGAGATATATATACAATATTATCCACACTTTGGTTTTCCGGCTATAAAATCATTCCTGAAGGTAATTTTCTAATTCTAACATTTAATGACTTGTTCAAACAGACTCAACTTTAATTTGTCTCACATATGGAAAATAGTTTGAGGCAAAGAAATTCATTGCTAATTGTCTATCATGCTCTGGTATTCACATATAAAACTTTTTTTTATGCAAAACAGAAATTGTTTGTGCAAAAAAAGTTTGTGGTGAAGAAAGTCATTGTTGATTGTCTGTTATGCTCTGGTATTTATGTCAGGTAACTTTTTTTTTTATTTACTCAATCAATAAGCAAAAAAATGTTACACACATTTATTTTCGTGTGACATATTTTGTAACACGCAGTCTACAAAATCAACATGCGTGTTTGCGTCCATCAAAATCGATCCCTGTACTCAATAATCAACTTTATCTAAATCTATAATAATATTTATGACTGTTGTTTGTTTGTTTGTTTGTCTGTCTGTTCAGGGTTGGCGGCTACACTAGGGCCGTCCCGAGGTTGAAAATTAGTGCATAGGGGTAGTTCAGGCCAGGAAGTAACATGGGCTAGGTGGTGTTGGCATAGCACTTCCGGTTTCAGAGTTACACTACTTTCAATCCATGCAGCGCTAGGTCGTCTGCTAGTATAACATTATTTTCACCAAGAAAATATATATCGCCAACAGAGAGGACTGTGAATGTTTATAATTTTTTTGTTCACCATTATCTTGCCAATATCTTTGTCAGTACTGGATGGAATTGAACAATGTTTAGACCGATAAGAATTTTTGAGATTCAGTTATTGTAGTATTGTGGCACAATATTGTGATTTTTATTAAAGATACATTGTGTAAGATATAGATAAAGAGCTGGCAGTTCTCGCTATAATACAAACTGAATATATTGAAAATTTCATTCAAATTACTTTATTTTGAGCGAAGTTATCTATGGTTGCAGATTTGACAAGATGTTTGCAATGATCATAACCACTGTACTTGTTATTCAAGTCTTAACCATCTGTTGGCATCGATTATTGTCTTGCCATGTTAATAAATGTCTAATTAATAATCTATATAACATTTAAGGCCCAAATAAAGACCTGCATATATGCAAATTTAGCTCTTACATAACACCGGTTTAAACATACATTATGCTAGAGCTAAATATGCCTATTGCAGGTCTTTCTTTAATTATTAATTAGACATTAATTAACTTATCCAGACCATAATCAACTCACGATGTCATCGCTAGTCTGCGATACATACTGGATTTGAATCTGATCTGCTGCTCAACACTCATTGATGATTAAATCCAAAAATGGATAATCAAGACTTTGATTTTTATTGCACCAACTTTAGTAATGATGATTGAGGCTAGGCCTAAAATTTAACAGATAATATCTTGGTTCAGAGTGGAGCAATTTGACAGAAATTTTCAGCATATTCTATTTGCATTATATATTTTTTTTTAACTATTATAGTGAGAACTGCCAGCTTTTTATCATATCTCCCATAAGTGATAGTGCCTTTATATACATCTTCTCACCTCTTTCCTTTGCACATGACCATAGCTTCTGCTATTGGTATCTGATGTAGATGTGTTGCTCCCGTTACATATTTACTCACACGATTTATTATCTCAGAAGCATCTGAAATAAATCACAAAACATTTAATAAGTTTTAAACTTTTATAGTTGTTTCCCCCATTATTCATAGCAAGTTTTCCTGACCTTGTTATAGTGAAGGCTTTAAAAGATATTTTCTGGGAATTTTCAGGACTCCCTAAAATACAAACAATTTTTAAATTGTTTGTGTTTGGTTACAATCCGGGCTAATAAAATGAAATGAAATGGGGTTTAACATCCCACTTTTCTGCACGGACTGGGCTAATGAAGACGGGCATAAGCCATGCAGTGTGCTATGTCAGAAGTTTTGCACAGAGAACAGCGCTATGGCTTACTCTCATATCAAATTTCAACTGTCAATGGTTCTTTTACCTCAGTTTTTTGTTCCATCCAAATGACTAGACAGCATTCCTTGCCACATCATGCAGCACGGACAAAGGAGAAACCACGCCGGGACTTTCTCAGCCAGACAATGTGGTTAGCGAGCCAGAGTCTTAATCACTGAACCACAACAGATACCAGCCATTACATGAAGTATACATGTAGGATATAGAACTGCCGCTGATGCCACCATCACATAAAAGTACACATGAAAGGATGACTCTTTCTATTGTATAGTACCACCCCCGATGGTAAAAATCACATAAAAGTACACATGAAAGGATGAGAGAGATAGAGAGAAATGGGATTTAACGTCCACTCGACACAAACTAGGTCATTTCGGGACTAACATATGGTTTAATTTTATTTCAATAATTCGGTTCCGCGTAGAGGTCTTTAGCAGTGGGAGGAAACCGGAGGACCCAGAGAAAATCCACGAGGTTGGGCAGGCGACCCTACTCCTTGTCACGTACAACCGGGGATTCGAAACCACGCCAGTTGACTCAATGACACACTTTATGATACATCGCGAACGTGCTAACCATTCGGCCATCCAACCCCCCCAATAAAAGGAAGACTTTTTCTACTGTATAGAATATAAAGACTTTATGATACAGCGTGCACGTGCTAACTATTCAGCCATCAAACCACCCAATAAAAGGATGACTCTTTCTACTGTATAGAATACAGGCTTTATAATACAGCGCGCACGTGCTAACCATTCGGCCATCCAACCCCCCCCCCCCATAAAAGGATGAATCTTTCTATTGTATAGAATACTTATATAGTACCAACCTAATTTCGTAGAATCTGTGCGTTCAAATGTATCTTTCCATAAACAATCCATAAATAAAGATGAGTAGGTTGGATCTATGTTAGCTATATGACGCCCAATAGAACTGACACCTGAAACATTTATACATTAATTCTACATATATTTCTACAAGGTCTTTTTGACTGAAGGACGACTTTGATCAGTGCAGTTTTAATTGCATGAATGAAATGAAATTTTACTGAAGGCATTTTATTTATGCACCATTCAGGCTAATCAAGACTGGTATATATGCCATGAGAGAGAGAGAGAGAGAGGGAGGGAGAGAGAGAGAGTTTTAAGTCTGGACACCCAGTTTGAGGAAACCAGAGAACCTGGAGAAAACCCACCATGAATCGAAACCATGTCAGTTGACTCAATGACAGAACTTATAATACAATGTGCAAGCATTCAGGCTAATGAAGACAGGTGTGCTATTGGGGAAATTTTGACAGCACAGTGGCACCATGGCCTACTCTTATATATAGAATTTCAACTGTAAAGGGTTGTTTTACGTTCACAGGATAAATCAGAAAATAGAAAATGACTTGAAAATAGAAAATGACTTGAAAATAGAAAATGACTTGAAAATAGAAAATGACGTGACTTACCTAATGGAATGACTAGAAATCTGGTGTATGCCTGCCAATCAGGTGACTTAGTAGAGAATTGTTCAACATATGGTCTCATGACTGAATTAATATAACCATCACTCCCTGCTACACCTAGTTTTATAGGGCCAGGTGTCTTACTGTTACTATTACAACTAGAGAAACATAAAACAGATTCATTCAATCAAGTTTAACTCTCTAGCAGTTATACCACCCAAAACCAGGGCTACTTAGACAGCGACATGACAAGCATAGCTGTTGTACACGCACAAACCAGTAAATGAAAAAAATGAAAATGAAATGGGGTTTAACGTCCTACTGTTTTGCTCCGAACTGGGCTAATGAAGACGGCATACGCCATACAGTGTGCTATGAGGGAAATTTTGCCCGGACAGCGGCACTACGGCCTACTCTTATATCGAATTCCAACTGTCAAGGGATCTTTTTACGTGCACGCCAATGAGTACACGGGACCTCGGTTTTTCATCCCATCCGAACGACTAGACAGCTGTCCTTGTCAGCCCCTCCGTCCTGCATCACTGACAAGGGAGAACCACGCCGGAAAATCGGGATGAACTTTCTCGGCCAATGCAGGGATCGAACACCCGACCTCCAGGCTAGCGAGCCAGCGCCTTACCCACTAAGCCACCGTGATCCCCAAACCAGTAAATGAGAGAGAGAGAAAGAGAGAAATGGGGTTTACGAACACTCAACATAAGTAACGTATGGTTCAATAATTCACTTCAGCATAGGGGTTTTTAGCAGTGGGAGGAAACAGGAGGGACCGGAGAAAACCCAAGAGGCTGGACAGGCGTCCCTAATCCGTGTCACCTCCATCGAAGAATCAAAACCATGTCACTTGAATCAATGACAGATCTTATGATTGAACATGCACGCGTTCAACCATTCGGCCACCCATTTTTATCAGAATTCCTGAATGATCAGTGAACAGCTTCTTGCTTTTTAGATAAATTTCTAAAGGAGAATTCAGTTTACACTGTATTTTAAATGTTCACTTCTAGATTTCACGAAAGATTTTCAAATGTCGTTAGCTCAACTTCATTTTGCATATATTAATAAATTCTTACTATTTCTGTATCTTAGCGACCAGGAAAGTAATGGCTGCCTTTACATCTGCATTTGAACAAGTACAAATTAGCCTCATCTGTTTTTCTTGTAATTTCTGTACTAATAACTGAAATACATAAATATCAAAAATTAAAGATGTAAATGAAATGAAATGAAATGGAGTTTAACGTCCTACTTTTCTGCTCCTAACCTGGGCTAATGAAGACGGGCATACGCCATACAGTGTGCTATGAGGGAAATTTTGCCCGGACAGCGGCACTACGGCCTACTCTTATATCGAATTCCAACTGCCAAGGGATCTTTTACGTGCACGCCAATGTGTACACGGGACCTCGGTTTTTCGTCCCATCCGAACGACTAGACAGCTTTCCTTGTCAGCCCCTCCGTCCTGCATCACTGACAAGGGAGAACCACGCCGGAAAATCTGGATGAACTTTCTCGGCCAATGAATTAAAGATGTATTATGTAACATTTAGATAAAGAGCTGACAGTTTTTGCTATAATAGTTCAAAGATAAACAATGAAAAGGGAATACATTGAAAATTTCTGTCAAATTATTTTATTCTGATCAAAGTTATGGCCGTTTGAAGAATAGTGTAGTCTTGATTGTCATTGCTGCCATTACGATAATGAACATAGTCTTGATTATCTATACCTTAATTAAATTATTAACTGGCGATGGTGTTTAAATCGATTGAAAATCACAACCATCAGTTAGTCTAGAGAGTTGATTATGGGCTTGGCATGTGAATAAATGTCTAATTAGTAATTTATATAAAATTTGAGGCCAAACGAAAGACCTGTAGATGGGGTTTAAAGCCATTGAAAATCACAACCATCCGATGTTCTAGAGAGTTGATTATGGGCTTGGCATCTGAATAAATGTCTAATTAGTAATTTAGGCCAAACGAAAGACCTGTAGATTTAGCTCTTACATAATGCAGTGACCGCCCTAGACATTCGCCAATTCGCCAATGGCGACAATTATTTTTATTGGCGAATAAAGTGATGATACTGGCGAAAAATTTGGCGAATGAATTTTAGAGAGTGTTATTTCGTAAATCTGCTAATATTAAACTTGAAATCGTCTCGTTAAACGCTTCTTTCGATCGACTCGATGGAGTGTCTATTTTTAGTACATTAATTACTCTAGTCTCAATCTTACAAGTCGCAAATCAGTCAATGTTACAATATTACGCATTAAAACGACCGAAAGATCGAGTCTGGAGACTATAAAACACAGTTACGCCCCTTTTGTGTGGCACTGCGTTGTTTACATTCGCTTCACTACAAGTTTTCTTTACTTACGCAGCAAATAAATAAAACGCACATTAATGACAACTAATACTAGTAAACCCAAAATAAGGATAGATTCCTTTTTCCTTCCTACGACTACTGTTAGTCCAGAATCTACTTCCGTGAGTGAGCGTGTCATCTCGGACGCAAGTCCTTCGTTGGCTTCATCAACATGTGGACAAAAATTAGACCTTTAACCGAGACCGTCGAGCTAACCCTCAATGACCTCATGCTTATAAAAATGGATGGACCGGACATAAATTTCAAATCAGCGGTGTCTTAAAAAGAATCGTCGTGTCTTTTCTGTTATGACGATGAAGTAAATTAAATCATGTGACTGTGAAGTACGTCCTATAAACATTTTTTTGTTATCTGCATTCATTCTCTCAATAATGTGAACTTTTGCATGAACAAGGAGATAAAATAATATTCTTGTGTACTATATATAGAGGATATTTGTCGTTTTAGAGTGAATAACATATTTTATTTCATCGAGAAGCAAGAAAACTTATATTTTCACGAATGCGTAGCATGAGTGAAAACATAAACGTTTTCTTGCTTAGAGATGAAATAAAATATGTTATTCACGACAAAACGACAAATGTTCTATTTATTTTATGATTTTACAATCATTTTAGGTAAAAACAACTAGCCAGTGGAATAACACTTTTATTTCACTGATAAAACGCGATATTCCACTACTGATTATAAAATAAAAGTACATATTAAACATTTATTTTGTCCGCGATATCACCTCGGTGGAAGCGGACGTAAAATACAACAAACACACACACACATTTATTTTCATTTTTAATTAACAAACATATGAATAAAAATGATATAAAATATTTGGCTAAAACTTTCTGAATTGGCTAATAAAATTTTGAATTGGCTAAAAATTTGGCTAAAGGTTTTAAGAGTCTAGGGCGGTCACTGATAATGCATCTTTAATGTTAGCATATATTTTTGTCTTTTTAGAAAAAACCTAATTACCACTTCATTCATTTTTTTAATTAGTCCAATTTAACTTCAGAGAAAAATTTTTTGGGCTGAACTAGTTAATTGCATAATGTATTTAGATTAAACAATTTCCTTTAATAAAATAAATCTGGCAGTCTTTGAAAGTGAACTCCAGAATTTTATAAATTGAATTACACAGAGAAAGTTTTTTCTTTAATTATTCATTAACAAGTTAATGAACTAATAAAACTCATTCTTGATTCAATTTTGCAGTGTGCTATGAGGTTAATTTTGGTAAGCAAATGGTAGGGAGTTGAATCCTGCCCTAATGTCTTTCACATTCGTTTAATATCAAATCTAATTTGTACTTGTGTCCAGTTTTGATAATGAGTGTCCAATTTACAAGTATTTTAATTTCTCGATCACTGTTAAAAACTTAACAACCCAATTGATTATTGATATATGATTGATTTTTGAACAGTTGTCAGGAAACTAAATACTTGTAAATTGGACACTCATTATCAAAATTAATCAGTCAGTTTTAAACTGGACATAGGTATTAAATGAAATGAAATGGGGTTTAACTTCTACTGTTCTGCTCCTAACCTGTGCTAATGAAGATGGGCATACGCCATACAGTGTGCTATGAGGAAAATTTTGCCCGGGCAGCGGCGCTACGGCCTACTCTTATATCGAATTCCAACTGCCAAGGGATCTTTTACGTGCACCCAATGTGTACACAGGACCTCAGTTTTTCGTCCCATCCGAACAACTAGACAGCTGTCCTTGTCAGGCCCTCCGTCCTGCATCACTGACAAGGGGAACTGGACATAGGTACAAATTGGATGATTTTCGTTGATTTTAAATAATTAAACCAATGTGAAAGCAGTTAATGCTAGATACACAAGATTAAAATGATAACTGTGTTACAGTGTTGTCACAATACAGATCTGAAATTGAAACCACGCCCCTTAACAACTCCATAGCAACGAAAAGACAAATTAGTGTTATAATAAAGGAATACAGTACATACCTGTCCCTGCCATTCTGCTGTATTGACTAGAATCAAACTTTCTGGTACTTTATCATCCCCTGTATCTAATACATTACTTAACTGATCTAATAATACTTTACGTGGCTATAAAATAAAAAAAAAACATAATAGGTTAAAACATATTTCATTTATACTATTAATAACACTGGATAATATAAGTACCACTACACTACAACTTGGGTATCATGTAGTGGTGCTGTTTTAGTGAGAGAGAGAGAGAGAGAGAGATAGAGAGAGAGAGAGAGAGAGAGAGAGAGAGATGTGGTTTAACGGCCACTCGACACAAACTAGGTCATTTCGGGACTAACATATGGTTTAATTTTATTTCAATAATTCGCTTGCGCGTAGGGGTCTTTAGCAGTGGGAGGAAATCGGAGGACCCGGAGAAAACCCACGAGGTTGGACAGGCGACCCCACTCCTTGTCACGTACAACCGGGGACTCGAAACCATACCAGTTGACTCAATGACAGGCTTTATGATACAGTGCGCACATGCTAACCAATCAGCCATCCAACCCTCCTGCTGTTTTAGTGGGAGTTTCTGTATTTTAATGTTTAGTTTCAAACCTTCGTTGGCAAATTGTTGAGAATTGAGAATCATCAAAGAGTATTGGGTTTCTACTGTCGCGGAGTTTAAAATAGTCCGCTAGATGAGATAATGAGTGTTGGGTTTACAAGTGCTCAGTTTCACTAGTGGTGTTAAATGAAATGAAATGAAATGGGGTTTAACGTCCTACTGTTCTGCTCCTATACTGGGCTAATGAAGACGGGCATACGCCATACAGTGTGCTATGAGGGAAATTTTGCCCGGGCAGCGGCACTATCGCCTACTCTTATATCGAATTCCAACTGCCAAGGGATCTTTTACGTGCCTTCTAATGTATACACGGGACCTCGGTTTTTTGTCTCATCCGAAGGACTAGACAGCTGTCCTTGTCAGGCTAGTGGTGGTGAATAATTAAATAAAACAGCACAACTATGGAGAACGCTAGATCAGAGACGGTCCTGCACATATGATCCAGCATTCACTACACGATATCGGAGTTGTAGTGTATAACATGGTTTACTATGCATCACTTCATTTCATTGAAAAGGCCTGTAGATATTTACATCATAAGATCACAGCCACAAATTATTCAATTCCAGTCAGATTAAATTAATGAAATAAATACGTTTAAATATATATAATCACAAAATATACATAACATAAGAGGAATACAAAAACAATATATGTACATTACTACACATGCTTTAAGAAACCAGAAACTTTACGGAAATTACTTATGTCTATCTAATTAATCAATTTCTAAAAGGCATACTTTATTTGATAAAGAGGATCTGATGTTTCCAATTAAATAGTATATAATAATTAGATCTATTTGGGTTTGCTGTATTATTGAAACTCATTACTAGCTTTGAAAAGAAGACAAATGCTAACATTACATATAAAAGATGCAAAAATATCTTAATGAAAGATATACATAAATGCCAAATATTATAAATTAAATTAATAATTTCAAATTGGCAAAGGAAAATCAAGATATCATAAATCAAATTAATAATTTTAATTAAAAGATATTTAAAGGAAAATCAAGATATTATAAAATAAATTAATAATTTCAATTAAAAATTATTGGCAAAGGAGAAAATCAAGATATTATAAAATAAATTAATAATTTCAATTAAAAGATATTGGCAAAGGAGAAAATCAAGATATTATAAAATAAATTAATAATTTCAATTAAAAATTATTGGCAAAGGAGAAAATCAAGATATCATAAATTAAATCAATAATTTCAATTAAAAGATATTGGTAAAGGGAAATCAAGATATTATAAAATGAATTAATAATTTCAATTAAACGATATTGCAATGGAAAATCATTTTTAGGTGCTGCAAACAGAAAAGGGAAGGTGCTTTAAGACTATCACTATCAGGTTCCCAAAATTTGGTTGGTAATAAATATGGGGTTTCATGGGTGTAATAAATCAAAAGTTCTCAATAAAAATTTGTGAATAATAAACATTCCTACTCCATGGAAGATGAACAGTGAATTATTGTGTAATTGTGATTAGTGAAATGTTTTTGATCTGTTTTTCTTTTGAGTAAATTATTGGGTTATACTATATACCAGAAATCACTAAATACCGGAAAACACACTAATTACTGGAAAAACCTAACCCTAACCCAAGGTCTAAAACTGCACACAGAAGACCAGACACCCGGGTTACCTATTAAGGGTGTTTTCCGGTATTTAGTGTTTTTCCGGTATTCAGTATAACATGGTGTTTTCCGGTTGTTTTCCGGTGTTTTTCACATGAATTACTGCCAACCAAATTTTACGTTTTTTGAAACGATAGAAGATAAACATTGATACATGATGTAAATGAAGATAGTTGTATTTGCGTATTTTTCTTTTACTACCATACATCATATGTTTTTTGGTTCTATTTTAATAATATTTATGTTGCTCTGAGTGTATTGAAACTATCAAATCTTATCTACAGTAATCATGGCCTGGGTATCATGGCCAGACTATTTATTATCACATGTCTTCTGTAACATTAACAGCTGTTGTATACCCAGTGTAAGTAAATGTAAATAATTCTATATTTCATCATTCACATGATGAGAACTATATCAATATTGATAAGCCTATCATCAGCTCTACTCCTGAAGGCAGGGATACTTTAGAGTACCTCGTACAAGATTTAAAGTCTATATAGTCAGGACTTCATTCTATAGAAATGAAATAAAATGAAATGGGGTTTAACATCCTACTTTGCTGCACCGTTCATTCCCTAAACTATTACACAGTGACTCATAAGCATTTGTCAACAATAAAAAAAATATTTTGAAACTTTAAGGTGCTGCAAAAAAGGACTCTCCTCGATCGAGATTAAGGGACATAATGGGGCTGTTCATCTTGGATTAGCAATTATATTATTGTTTTAATAGGAAATTCCTTGAAATAGACTTGTAAATATGATTGAAAAAAGACCTCTACACAATCAATTATAAGTCAGTCCAATCATACCAAACTTTGACTCTTTGGTATGAGGAAAGCCCCAACGTTGTTCCAAAATGTTATAAACTTTTTCTAGCTGCGGCTTGCTTACTACTGAATTTTGCATGAAGCAAAAGTATATAGAATCTTATATTTACAAGAGCTGCATATATATTATATATGGGATGAAAGTCTTTGTAAATATGTTTTGAGATAGATTGATAATATATAATGTATTAGTATATAATAAAAGAAAAAACAGGGGAATTAATTAATAGCATAGAGTAATTTTATATAATAAAAAAAAAAAGGAAAACAAAAAAAGATTATTTGTTTGCAAGATATTCAGTCATAAAGTATATTTATAATAAAAGACAAAAAAAAAGAGGGGAATTATTTTATAGCAGAGTAATTTTATATTAAAAAAAAATAAGATTATTTGTTTGCAAGATATTGTCAGTCATAAAACCTTCTAGAAATCACTCAAATCTAACCATAATTCATATTACCATTGAAATAAAATTTGATCAATAATAAAGAACTAGAATTACTGGAGACTATTGTTATTAAGTTATATAAGTCAAACTTGCTGTAGTCCACACATCACTGTGCATATGATTACATATAGTTATTGTTTGTAATATGGGCTAAAGGGCTGGACACACTATACAACTTTCTGTTAGATTGACTGAAATTTTTGAACAAATTAACCGAGCTTTAAATGCTTTCATGAATTGTTAATGCTAGGTTCACACTATCACGATTAGTACTGTGATTGAAATCACCATTTTAACAATGGAGTAGAGAGAGCGAGAGAGAGAAATGGGGTTTATTTCAATAATTCGCTTGAGCGTAGGGGTCTTTAGCAGTGGGAGGAAACCGGAGGACCCGGAGAAAACCCACGAGGTTGGACAGGCGACCCTACTCCTTGTCACGTACAACTGGGGAATCGAAACCCCACCAGTTGACTCAATGACAGACCGTATGATACAGCGCAGCGCGCACGTGCTAACCATTTGGCCATCCAACACCCCACAATGGAGTAGCCTAATCATGGTGATTCTATCAGGTCTTATCACATATTGATGTTAGTGGATCATGGACTCAATAGGGACACGCCAACTTAACGCATCGTACAACAGTGAGAACCTAGCATAAGTTCAATGGCAAAAGCCTGTAAAAGAATGTCATGAATCTAACAAAACAAATGCATATTGTGCAAAGCCATATAATAAGAATGGTAAAATCTACCCGATCCTAAGAAAAGAATAGTCTATTTTTAAAGCTTTTTTATATGTTACTTACAGGAACCATATAACTCTTGAGATACATTCTGTGGAACAAAGACTAACAGCAAAAAAAATACTTTAAATATTCAATTCCAAATAAAAGTCAGAAAAGGTTGTTTTTTTCAAACAAAAGTCAGAGTTGTTTTTCAAACAAAATTCAGAGTTGTTTTTCAAACAAAATTAAGAAATCAAAAAATAAAAATAAAAAATAAAATCGAAAAAATAAAAAAATCTGTATTTGTTTTGGATAACCTCAATTTTGGGACTAACAAGAATATTTTTAAAAGAAAAATTGAGGATTTGAATTAGAAAATAAAATGAAATGGGGTTTAATGTCCTACTGTTCTGCCCCGACTGGATTTGAATTAGAGATTGAATTGCTGGATCAAACAATGTGTACAAAGGTGGAGAGAATAAATAAGAAAAGATAAATCAAAGAAAAAGATTAATTATTATACTTTTTAAAGTAGTCTTGGAAATTATTGATATTATATAACTTTTATACTTTTTAAGGTAGTCTTGGAAACAGTTGATATTATATAACTTTTTATTTATAACTATTATACTTTTTAAGGTAGTCTAGGAAACTGATGATATATATAACTTTATATCAAAACTATTATACTTTTTATGGTAGTCTAGGAAACTGATGATATATATAACTTTATATCAAAACTATTATACTTTTATTGAAGTAGGGGAAATTCCGTTTTAAACACTGTGAATTCTGTTTTTTTCCGTTTCATGAGGTGGAACTTTCAGTTTTTACCTTTCCAAATTCAAGATTCAGCGATTTTCCGTGCTTTTTCTGTGATTGCGGAAAATAATTATTCCTAATGTAGTCTTGGAAACAACTGATATTAGAACTGTAGATTATAATCAAACATTAGTGTTTATTGTTTATATATTAAATAACCAGACATTGTGCTGAAGTTGTCAAGTTGAATAGTTCACGAGATTCATGTTACATACTGTAATTATATGCTGTGCTAAGTTGGGGCGAAGTGTTTTTTAATGTATGAATTGAAAATATCACACACACTAATAATTACAATACTGTAGTCTGTACAGTTCTGATATTATTTGTTATCATTTAAAGAGCCAAGGCAATAATTTTCAGATAATTATTATCCTAATCACACTGTAGCAAGTTAACAATTACTACTAAATGCATAGAAAATTTACAATCTTAACAATTTTTATTAAAATTCATAATATTTCATAAATTAGTATGTGATGGGCGTACAACTCATATATACGCGATTGAAAAAGAAACTGAACTTGACGAAAGTCTTCCCTATGCATCAATGAACTATCCCTCCGAATTTGAAATCTGTAAAGAACTGTTAACCTGTAGAGTGTTAACATTAAATGTCGGCATATATCGAGACACTAAAATTGTTTATATTTTGCGTTTTTATTTAAAGTTGACATGCAATAAGCAAACTCTTGAGTAATAAAGTTATTTGAAGTGTTTGAACTTAGCATCAGAGGTCAAGTCAATGTTTCACTTTTTTTTATTCAAAGTGTTTTGATTTATATCAGCAAACTTTTGGAAATCTCAAGTGTTTTATCTAAAGCCCCTGTCACACCAAACTAGACTAGTTCTTACTACCTTCTGGAAAAGGCCATAGGAAAGCATATCATGTTTCTTGCTACCCGGATTTCACATTGAATGGTGGCATAGGAATCTCTTGGCCCGAGTTCACAAAACATTCTCAGACTTAAGTTAAGAATTTACTCAAAATTGTTCGCATTATATTAACTAATATATAACCCTTTATAAAACTTGTGTTGTTTCAATGTATCAAATATATCAATAAGAAACTATGTGCAAAGTTTTATGTTTCTGGAACCAAGATATTTCTCATAAGCAGTGACTGAAAGTTGAGTAAATTCTCAACTTAAGTCTGAGAATGCTTTGTGAACTTAGGGCCTGTTGTGAGATGACACAGTGTGATTTAAAGCCTTATCACTGCTTTCAGAGCCTCCCAGCAGTTGGGATGAAGCTTGAAATCACACTTCGTCATCTGGCAACAGGAGATTCCTATACCACCATGCAGTATGACTGGTGGGTAGCAAGAAATCACACTTCGTCATCTGGCAACAGGAGATTCCTATACCATCATGCAGTATGACTGGTGGGTAGCAAGAAACAATATGCTTTTCTATGGCTTTTTCCAGAAGGTAGTGATAACTTCATTATCTCACAACAGGAGATTCCTATGCCACCATGCAATATGATTTCAAAGTAGCAAGAAACACAATATGCTTTTCTATGGCCTTTTCCAGAAGGTAGTGAGAACTTCATTATCTCACAACAGGAGATTCCTATGCCACCATGCAATATGACTTCTGGGTAGCAAGAAACACAATATGCTTTTATATGGCCTTTTCCAGAAGGTAGTGAGAAATAGTTTAGCTTGGTGTGACAGGGGCTTTAATATCGAGACAGGTCATAGAGTGAAATAACAAGGACAAACATATCTATTATAGACCTTGTAGCCAGTAGCAGAAATAAACAAAACCTTCTAGACTCCATTTAATCTTTTTGCTTTTTCATTCAAAGTGTTTCGATATGTGATAAGAAAACTCTCAGAAGTCTCAAATAATTGAGTTATTTTAATCTCTTGAACTTCGCCTTGGAGGTCAAGCCAATCTTTCACTTTTTATATGAAGTGTTTCGATATGCAATAACCAAATTCTCGGAAGTGTCAAGTGCTAGATTTTAACATGGGAGGTCAAGTTATTGTTTTTCTACTCAATGACCTATTCTCTGATGTTAAAAACCAAGGACAACTAGATCTATTTTTATAGACCTTGCAGGCAGTAGTAGAGAAATAAACAAAACGGGATAGATTTCATTTAATGATGCTATAAATAAATATTATATAAACATAATTACAACAGGGCTAGACAGTTCATTTAAAAAATGAAATGAGGTTTAACGTTTTACTGTTCTGCTCTTAAACTCGGCTAACGAAGACAGGCATACGCCATACAGTGTGCTATGAAGGCAATTTTGCCCGGGCACGGCATTATGGTCTACTCTTTTATTGAATTCCAACTGCTAAGGGATCTTTTAAGTGCACGCCAATGTGTACACGGACACTTCATTTAAATTTGTTTATAACTAATCAAACTTTTCTACATAATAATGTTGATTATTACAGTTTTATTTAAATAACAAATTTGCTCTATCACTACACAATATCGTATTTAAAGAATCACTGTTATTATTCAAAACTGTATTTGGATTCAATGATGTTTTAAATTACTAAACAATATCAGTATTAGAATCCTTTAGAGGCGTCAAGCCTAGAAATAAGGCACCTGTCACAGACAATGTCAGACACATAACCTCTGGTGTCTGTCATTTTGTCTGGCACTGATTTGTCTTTCCTAAGTTGGAAGTACTATTTTATTAGTGCCTGACATTTTGTCAGGTACATCTAAAACCGTTATGTCCAGGCTAGTAACTGGATAGAAATGAGATGAAATGGGGTTTAACGTCCTACTGTTCACTTTCGATTGCATGAAGGCAGGATAACTGGATAGAGCAGTAAACTGTAGCAATACTTATGGAAGAACAATTACTAATTTATTCTTGCAACGTTTCGAAGAGTTACTCTCAATATTTTCAACTCTTCGAAACATCGCCCAAATAAACAAGTAATTGTTTTTCCGTATGTATGTGTTATAGTTTAATCACGATTATGATATCATTTCTTATTTTGAATCAATGATATATTAAATTATTATATAGTCTCTTCTTATTTTGCTCAAGAATCACTATTATTTACAGAATTTTATTTTGTTCTATTATTATTTACAGTATGTATCCTATTTTGTTCTATTATTATTATTCTCTTATTTCATTCAATAATCACTATCTTCATCATTTTGTTCAATAATCACTATTATGATACAATATCTTATTTTGTTCAATAATCACTATCATTATACAATATCTTATTTTGAATCAATGTTTTAAATTAATATAAATCGTCTTGTTATTGTTTTGTTAAAGAATCAATTTGATTTTAAAACAAATTCTCTTGAACATATTTATTATACATGTCTTACAGTCAGAGGATCTCCTACATTTCTCAAAATACAGCATACAAAAACTAATATTTTAAAATTAATTCGATATAAGAATTAATAAATTAATATGCATATTAATTAATATGCTCACAGTTTGATTAATGATATAAATTATTACATTAACACATTGCTCTTTGAAGAAATATTTTCAGGGACCTTAAAGTTACAATTTCATATTTTCTAAGAAAGTCAAAACATAATTATTTCTATGTCTTTTGCTCAATAGGTTGTCAACTCACTATTATACGATCATAGGTTATCTTTCTCACACTTAAAAATCTTCACACCGGAAATAATAACACAATTACCTCCTTTGTTTTCCTATTCCCCACCATGAAATAGCTATCTTCAAACGTTTGAATTTGAAGTTGAAAATGATATTTTTGCCAATTTCTCTACTGGCAATAGTGAATTACAGGATTAATAGGATTATTCTTTAACAAGGTAGGGCTGTTTATAGATACCGTCTATTTTAGGGCTTTATTTTAATACATTTTAAAAATATAACTTAAAAGTATGAAATTGCAACTTTAATGAAATATTTAACTAATAAAATATTAAGACGGAAGCATATCTATTGACTGTAAGCTAAATCTGTGCCATGGTTTAGTGTTTATCCAATGAACAGCTGGTATACATAATACATAAAAATTCATTGAATAAGGTCCCTGTAAATTAGCTGCATTGCATTGCATGCATATTTTAGTGGAAGTGCAATTGGCTAAGTGGACAAATGCATAAGCTACTAATAGCATAATGTGATTTTGTATATCTTTCTTGCTTTTTGTTATATTTCAGAAAATCTTTTACTAAAAGTAAACTCTTATCTTTCTTACAGATTACTTACACAGTTCTTACACAGTTTGTTTTTTTTTTGTATTTTTTTTTTAAATCAGAGGTAGAATTGTGGAATGGTGTGATTAAGAATATCTGAAGCTGACAGACGTGATGGAGAAGTAAACATGAGAATTCAGAATAATAAAGAAAATATTTTCTAAAATATGAAAAGTAAAAATGGACAAGACACTGACCATGTCTTCCATGCCTCCGGCACTATGTCTTCGATCTGTCAGCGAGTAAACCGGTTTGAGTTTTGTCTCTCTGTATGATGTGGAACGCTCTCTGACAAAATGGCGTGATTTAATCAGCGGTGATCGAGGCCTAGGTGACGACTCGCTCATTGTGTTAGTGGAATCGGAATGTTCTGCTTCATGCTCCTAAATATTGATACAAACAAGGCAAAAACATAACATGCAGGGTATGTATATATATACAAACTTCACGGATTATAGAAACATTTCACTTATAAAAATATTTATAGATTCTTTTTTTAAATTATCAATCTTAATTAAAGGATTGATGTATCATTTAGCACTATAGAAACATTTGACTAATATAAATATAGATTCTTTTTCAAATAATCAATCTTAATTGATGTGTCATTTTAAGCAATAGGAATCACTTGCAAACTACAATATTGTGAAAGGCATATCAGTGAAAAATGGTACAATTTCATTCAGTATTTAAATATGGAATTGAAATTTCATCGAAATGAAATGGGATTTAACGTCCTACTGTTCTACACTGACTGGGCTAATGAAGACGGGCATACGCCATACAAATTTTGCCTGGACAGCGGCAATATGGCCTACTCTTATATCGAATTCCAACTGTCAATTCGTTTATGTGCATGCCAATGTATACACGGGACCTCAGTTTTTCGTCCCATCCAAAACGAGAAATTTCATCGATCTATGCTGCTTGAGCGTAACAAGACAGCGCCGCAATCTTTTATTGGTTGTAGAGAAACCTGATTGGCCTATTTTAAAACTGACTGAATCCAGGCCGCAAGAATTGTGATTTCTTAATTAAACATTTAATAATCAATCTGAGTACATATATAGCATGGGCTAAGCCATGAGAAATTTAATATTTTAGTGAAAATGCAAATGACACATCAAGACTTTAATCCTAAAATATCCTAACCAGGACACACATAGTTCCCTCCCTTCAAATGTTAAAAGTTACCACCAATCCCCCATAAAATGGAGTAATTTAAAAGATAAATTTTCTTAAATGAAATGGGGTTTAACGTCCTACTCTTCTGCTTCAACTGGGCTAATGAAGACTGGCTTACGCCATACAGTGCGCCATGAGGGAAATTTTGTTTGGACAGCGGCACTACAGCATACTCTTATTTCAAATTCCACCTGTTAAGGGTTCTTTTACATGCACATCAATGTGTTCACAGGATCTTCATTTTTCATCCCATCCGAATGACTAGATAAATTTGTTCATGACTGGATTATGATACAACATCATGTGATTAGCAATTAACACATGAGCAAAGCCACCTTAAAGATGCATTATGTAAGAGCTAAATCTGACCAATGCAGATCTTTTGTTTGGCCTTAAAAAAATCATTTATTCACATGTCAAGCCCATATTTAAATCTCTATACTAAACACAATTGGCAGTTAATAATTTAATAAAAAAAAAAGGAAAATAGAGACTGTTTATTATTGTAACAACGGTAGTAATGACAATCGAGACTACACCATTCTTCTAATGGCAATAACTCTGCATGAAGTAATTTGACTGAAATTTTCAGCATATTCCCTTTTCATAATCTATTTTTGAACTATTATAGCAACAACTGTCAGTTCTTTATCTAAATCTTACATAATGCATCTTTAACAGTACAAGTGCCTTCTACCAGTGGTGGATTGGAACACACCGCGAGTTATAGGTCAAAGGGCAAATTAACTGATGGGCTTCTATCATAAAATTACAGAGACATCCTGTTGCATAAAATTTCCACAATAATTCATGCGTGTGATAATTGAATGTCTGTTATAGTGTATATATCCTGCTCCCATGTGAAAAGTATTGTAACAATTGTTAAAGGTCACACTGATTAAATCGCTAACATATACTTTAAAACATACCCAATTAAAAATAGTCTTAGAAAATTCTAAAAATCAACTAGAATGTGACAACCTGGAGAAAACCCTGAGAATTGGCAAGTGGCTCTATTCCATTCTGTGTGCAGGCCTGGGATCGCAACCACAACATTTGACTCTATGACACATCTTATGATCTAAGGGGCACAAGTTAGACCAATCGTCCACCCCCACCAACCCTTATATCTTTAACAATAGTTCTATAATTGTGCAAACATATTAAAGGGTTTTACTACTTTTAGTGCAAGTGAAATGTCTCTTTAATCAAATCATGAACAAAAAAACAACAAAATATAAAAAAAAAACATAACAATATATACATAATAGGTGGATATATAAATATATATATGACTATATCTAGTCTAAATATCAAAAGAGGAAATTGGGAATCTGGCTACAAATCTTTCAACTTCCAGCTATAAGTGTACTTCTAATGTTTCATTTCCTTCTCATTCATATTTTTTCGTGAACATCCAGGTTTTTAAAACTGTTTGCATCAAAAACAATTCAAAAGTTGCCCTTTGTTTTAAAATACGGTATCAATAACAAATGTTTTACACAAGTTTTGAATCAAATAAATTAGAATCAAATATAAGACAAGTTTCGAATCAAATCAAATACAATCAAAAAGTTTAGAATCAAATAAACTACAAGTTTTGAATCATTTTTAGAATCAAATAAAATACAAATTTTGAATCATAAAATACAAGTTTAGAATCTATTAAAATACTAATAAAGACAAGTTTAAAATCAAGATTTGAATCAAATAAACCTCAAGTTTCGAATCAAATAAACCTCAAGTTTCGAATCAAATAAACCTCAAGTTTCGAATCAAATAAAACTCAAGTTTAGAATCAAATAAAATACAAGCTTAAAATCAAAAAGTTTCGAATCAAATAAAATTCAAGTTTAGAATCAAAAAGTTTTGAATCAAATAAAATTCAAGTTTTGAATCAAATAAAATACATGCATGGGTATTTTCCCCAAATTAGAACAAAACATAGTTTAAATAATAGAAAAATAAACTAAATGCTTTCTGGAGATATAAAATATTTACGGCGGCTGATCGACATCCTCTGGATTTAGAATCCCTTCCAAACTACAATATTACGAAAGTTTAATCTCAAAAAAGGAATATCATTTCAAATATGTTTCAGTTTCGTTCAGTATTTCTATTTACTGTATTTACAAACATATCAATGACAAAATGAAATTTCAAAGCATCCCGTACTTACAATATGAATCTTTAAGTGGCACTTAGCGATCAGGAAACACAATAATAGAACACAATCTTGATGGGTAACAATCACTAGTCTTATTCTAAAAGCAAAAATATTTGTGATTTTTTGTTTAAACCTTTTTTGATTCCTATTGTTGCTGTTATTCAAATCTTTGTAAATGGTTTCACTATGAATTTTATATCCTATATACAATGTATATATATTGACCTCAAGTTTACTAAATGTCATTGTGTTTGATAACGATAAAAGGATACTTGTCGAAACGTCGTGATTGTTTCCCATAAAAACTGTGTTCTATTATTGATCATGTGAACAAGCCAATGCCACCTATTAATGTTGGGTAAAATCTTTTGATGGATCTCTTTTTAATCCGACTGAATTCAGGCCAAGTGATTCTCTATCATTGATATATTGGGAGAGAGGGAGAGAGAGAGAGAGAGATGGGGTTTAACGTCCACTCGACACAAACCAGGTCATTTCGGGACTAACATATGGTACAATTTTATTTCAATAATTCGCTTGCGCGTAGGGGTCTTAAGCAGTGGGAGGAAACCGGAGGACCCGGAGAAAACCCACGAGGTTGGACAGGCGACCCTACTCCTTGTCATGTAAAACCTGGGAATCGAAACCACGCCAGTTGAATCAATGACAGGCCTTATGTGATATTTTGGTTTTGTGTTCTTAATCAGATATTAAATAATCAATTTGAGCACATCGTATTGCGAATTAACCAGTGAAAAATTAGATATTGACCAAAGAATAGAAATGATTTTCGAGTTATTCCAATTCCGCGCCCCCCTCCCCCCAGACCCCAATATTTTGATGCAAACAGCTTGTTCTCCATAATCAAAGTATGAATAATAAAAGTCAAATGTCAAAATTAAAAATTATGAAAGACTGGAAGGTTGAGATCAGAAAGTTGAGATAATATCGGATTCTAGGAATATCTTGGGGGTGAAATAATTAAAACGCTGGTCGTCATTTTCATTTTTTTTATTTTATTTTATCTTTGTAAATATTGAACAGCATTTTGGATTGATTTTCCCTTTTAGAGATCAAACTTTCCAAATATTGTAAGTTTGTAAGGAATTAAAAATCATTCAAATGACGAGCAGCAGTTTTAAACTGAATTTGAGCTTATTACCTTTTAGACCTACAAGACCGATGCCTCAAGGAGGAGTATTCATGAGACCCAGTTTTTCAGGAGGCGATATTTCCCCTTGAGTCACCGGAGTATACATATACATGTGCTCAATGGATAAGATATTTTAACATTTTAACATATTTTAACATAGTTCGACTGATCGGGATTGAAAATCCCTCCTGTGACCATCAGTGGCTTTTAAACTCAATCTGAACTTATATACATATGTTGAATGATAAAGAGACAAAATGCCAGAACGACAGAAGGAGGAATAAAAAAATCGAACATGAACAATGAGGATATACATGTACAACCACATAAAAATGTTGCTCTTTAAATATTAGTAAAAAGCAAGCTGGAAGCTGAGAGATAAGTTTTCTACCACATAAAAAGGTTTCCATTAAAAATGATATATCTCTATATAAAATATATATTTGAATATATTTGAGCATTGAATATATTTTTTAAAATGTTTTGTTAATTGATTGACTCACAAGAACATCTAACATAGCCGACGCCATGGTACTCTGGAAATAAATAAACAATCACCAACTAAATAACTGGACAAACTCAGAAAGAAACCAGGCCAGTTGTCAGTCTTCAATATTATTTTAACGACAGACCTTTGCCGTTTTAAAAAAAATCTTTATTCAGGATATCTGAACGGGATTGGGGGACAGGCTTAGCCGATGTTAAATCCCTCTCCCTGGGTTTTTTTACGTTAATTTGACCCTGATACCTATATCAACATTGCAGATTGCCAGATGAATTTGTGAACTATGGCAAGCTCAAATTCAGGCTTTGTCAGTCACAAATTTCATGAACTGTGGCTAGTCTGCAAATAAAGCACCTTTCACAGGCATATATTCTGATAAAATTCATCTAGTACCAGTCATTATGTCCGACACAGATTTGCCTTTTTTAATAAATGTTTGGCGCAAATTAAATAACTTTAAACGGCCGACAACAGACTTATTTCTTTCCACTGTCACACAATTAATATATACTAATGAAGCTGTGATATCGGCACAAGTGGTAAGCATCTTACACGAACCCCATAACTAAAGTTTATTAATGCTCTTTCAAAATCATGTCACACACGAACTGTAGCATATCTATTGCCTCATCACTCTATGGCCGAACAATTTTTTTTAGTTTTTCGGGAACTTGTGAGAGATTTTGACCAATGTTTGGAGTTTTTTTTCCTTAAAATTTCAAGATTTTGAGAAGGGTAAGCAAATGTTGTTTTTTTTATTATTTCAAACTTTTTTTTTGCTCAAGAAAATTGAAGTGAAACTTTCACCCGAAGTACTAAAATTGATGAGGCCTGAGAGATGTAAATGTAGAATTCAAATGCTGTCATATAACATCAAATTCTCATCATCATACACGAAGTCACTGATGACAAATTACTAGTCATGCACATAAAAACATGGTTGTACGCACGCACACACGCACTTTAAAACAAAAATCATCAAATGTCGACATGAACATGTAAAATAAAAAATAACCATGCTTGATTTAAGACATGTTGTAATGCAATTAGCTACATAGAGTCAGACAACACAATATTTCCATCAAAGATCGTTGGGCTATGTCTGGTTTTATTGTAATACAAACTCAATCAACATTTCAAAATTATTAAACTAGGTCATTATGGGACTAACATATGGTACAATTTTATTTCACAAATCTACTTGCGAGTAGAGGTCATAAATCCAAAAGAAAATATAAATCAACCACATTGTAGATCATTACATAATTACAAAGTTTTACATTTTATTTGAAAAATTTCAGTATTTAGTATAATTTTTAAATATGAAAAGATTTTAACCCTTTCAGTGCTAGAATCTCATTTCCAAAATTGGAATGAAGAGGTCAATTGTCAGATTTCAACAGCATTGTGGAAGATATTTCCAATTTCTAAAAGATGCAAACCGGCTAATACACTGAAAGGGTTAATTAGTTTTTGTGAAAGTTAGAATTTCACCAGATTCTAATCATTTACATTACACGCCTAATAAAACTACTTTTGATCTTAAAAATAAATTCCGACTTCCTCTAGAAATATAACAAATCAATATTGAAATCTCATCAAACCAGACATTTACCAAAATCTTTGATGATGAAAAAGCACAGGTTAACAGCCTGGTCCCATAGCAAGACAAAAACAGACATTCAACTAAAACCAGTAGATAATACGATGTTTGTATTTCATGACTAGAGTTGATGAAATATTATTTTAATATAAAATAATCTTTAGATCAAATAAACTTACAGCATTCATATCGGAATCGGTTCTTTTCATTAAACATTCTTCAGATTGTTTCCCTGATTCCTGAAAGCACATTGATAGAAAAGAAACAAAATTGTGATTAAACTAATTTCTGTGATTTTCTAACAATTCTCGTTAAAGGAGTTAAAATCGTTAATATCTGGGAACTATAAAGGGACACAAATGGGTCGCAATGAAAATGAAATGAAATGGGGTTTAACGTCCTACTGTTCTGCTCCTAAACTGGGCTAATGAAGACGGGCATACGCCATACAGTGTGCTATGAGGGAAATTTTGCCCGGGTAGCGGCACTACGGCCTACTCTTATATCAAATTCCAACTGCCAAGGGATCTTTTACGTGCACGCCAATGTTTACAAGGGACCTGTTTTTCGTCCCATCAGCTTGACAAGACAGCTGTCCTTGTCAGGCTAATGGCATGATATATCGTTCAATCGATGTATCGCGATTCACCGTCTCACGATACCTGTATTGAATTGGAGGATGCCGAATCGATTTTTCACGATTCTTTTTTGCGTTTTCTCAAATATATTAAGTTATACCCTAAACTTTATTTGAAACAATGACACTTCGCAAACGATGTCCAGTAGTCTTGACATGTGTGTTACTATAAATAGCGCACGACCGTAATTACCGTTAGTTACGTAGGTTTAGATTAACAACATTCTAACGCCTTTTCGTTTTGTTTCAGAATTTTGAAGTTTGTTATAAGGCTTAGTTAATAAAACATGCATATTTAAATACATAAAACGACATTTTGCTCTAGAATTTTATAAATTTAGAACGTAAATATAATAGATAGTAGCTCTTGTAAAAATCAAAATGGCGGAAAACACAGTCGCAATAACAAATCCTCCAGCGAAATATAAATCTAAAGTTAGAGAAAACTTTGGGTTTTTAAAAGGTGACAACGAAAGTTGTTTGTAGAATATGCAAAACTATTCTAAAATATTGTGTCACTTGACAAGACACCATAGTGGCAACTGTCTAAGTTCGTCTGCTAAGATTAAGAAGACGGCCAGTTCAACCTGCGGTGAAGTTCAAGGTCAACATCCAACAATTGAAAGTGCATTTCAAAATAAACTTCCATGAAACTCAAAGCGGGCTACAGAAAAACCGAGAGTGTTACTAGATTTATCATACAAGATCTGCAGTCTTACTCTGTAGTGGAAGATAAATCACATTCACAATCACATATTTAATTTGTTGTTTTATTGATAAATCTATGACCTAGTTATGAATCGCGATACGTATCGTATCGTGGCACATGAATCGCAATACGTATCGTATCATGACTGCAGTCGCAATACCCAGCACTAACATACGCGATACATTTTCAACAGTCAGTCTTCATCTGGAAATGGAGACTTGTGTACCAAGCTGTATTATATGGTGTCTGAATAAACCAGACTTTTATTTTATAAAAATAACGTCCAGTCTAAGACTCCTTACGCAAGTTCAAATAGGTTCAAACGCACAATTGTCAACAAATATCATTACAGTTTGTATTGGAATAAGTAATTCTATGACAAATAGTGAAGACTGGACCACTAAAATAGTTACCGAACAGTTTTTCTTTGTGGTTATGCGTTCTACATTTGCATAGCGATGTTTCTTGTAATGACTTATTACGCAAGCCGCCATGACACCTGCCAGTTGAAATTTCGCGTAGCAGTTGGGTTTCTTCAAATCATATAATTGTGCGATAAGGCTTCACCTTTATTTCAATGGGAATTGATTTATTATTATGTTAATTTATGTGCAGTAATGTTTTGGGTCAGTTTATGTGTTAATTAAGGGAGCTACAAGCCAGTAACCTTTTTGTAGTCATTTGACTAAAAAAACTTGCGCAAAGGAACTCTGATGGACGAGCCACTACTGTGGCTGGAGTAAGGCGGAAGACATCAGTAGTTAAACCATTTCTATCTATCTCCATACCCCTCTCCTTTTGAAAGACATAATATTTTTGAAACATCGCTCAGTACCAAACAGTAATAGTATCCCACAGAATGGTGTCCTTTGTTTCAGGTTCTATTACTAAATGTCATGGAAACAATATATCATTCCACAGAACTATGTCAATGATGATATATAAAGAAGAAAACCTACTTGTATTTTCGTAGGAACCTCTCTATCATGGCTACTACTACTTCTACCAGAGAAAAAGGGTCTGGAAAAATAAATCATATATATAGTGACTAATTTAAACATTTAAAATAATCTAAACATTTTAAATAATCTAAACATTTTTTAAATAATTTAAACATTTTAAATAATTTAAACATTTTAAATAATTTAAACATTTTAAATAATTTAAACATTTTAAAGATGCATTATGTAAGATTTAGACAAAAGAGCTGACAGTTCTCGCTAGAATAGTTCAAAACTAGATAATAAAAAGAGGATATGTTGAAAATTTTAGTCAAATTGCTTCACTCTGAACCTAGATATTAGCGAATCAATTTTAGGCTAGCCTTGATCATCATTACTACCATGGTTGATAAAATAATAAACAAAGTCTCAATTATCCATTATTTTTCAAATCCACTAAAATTCACCTGTGCAAACATCCGATAGCATCGAGAGTTGATTATAGTCTTGGTAAGTTAATTAATGTCTAATTAAGGCCCAAAGAAAGACCTGCTATAGGCAGATTCAGCTCTTGCATAATGTATGTTTAATAGTTTATATAACATTTAAGGCCTAAAGAAAGACCTGCAATAGGCAGATTTAGTTCTTGCATAATGTATGTTTAACAAATAACAATGATGTAAATATATACCTGAGACGGGGTTTCGGTGTGGACATGACGCTCATAGTATCAAGTTCTGGTCCACTATCACTAAGATCATCCAGTTCATCGAATAACAAATCATCGATATCACCAGCAGGATTATCAGGATCTATTAAATCGTGATCAGCTTCAGAATCTAACGCCTGAAAATGGATGGAAACGGAAAGACGTGAGAATGACATGTCGTTATTCCAATGAGACGACGTCCATATGTGTATACACATTAGTATATGAAATCACGTAATAAAGACACTGTGACAAGGCAATACAAAATTCATATATTCCAATGAGACAACGTCCACATGTGTATACACATTAGTATGAAATCACATAATAAATAAACTTTGACTAGGCAATACAAAAAAAAATACTCTTGTTCTCAAACAATCCTTCCTAAAATTCAGATATTCCAACAAGACGACATCCATATGTATTTACACATTAGTATGAAATCACGTAATAAAGAAACTTTGACAAGGCAATACAAAAAAAAAAAAAAAATACTCTCGTTCCAAGACAATCCTTCCTAAAATTCAGATGTGAAAGGGGAGGTTTTTGTTTTTTTATTTTGTCAAAGGATCAGTACTGGGCTAAATGGGTTCGCACATGGTGTCAGCCACACTAATCAGCAGCGAATTTTCGCTAGGCCGCTACAATCACTGATAAGGATGACATCGATGGGAATTAATGAGCCAGAAATATTAAATTAACTTTTTTCCTGCGACAAATTTAATTCTAAAACATTTTCTTTATGTATTGGAAAAATAAATAAAGGCGTTTGACGTATTTGTAGGTAAAAATTATTTCCTATTTAGCGTAAATGGGTATTAAAATGACTAAAAGGCAGCATTCTGCCCGAAGAAGTAATGCTTTATGTAAACAATGCACGCGCCATTCAGCCAATGATTGACGTCGCGAGCTGTGACGGCACGTGTTAAGGCAGTCATCTTTGACAGAGATATTACTACTAGACTCGTAATTCTCTGTGAAACAGATTGGGTGTCAGCTGATAAAGTTCATCATGATTTTCCAGCGTGGATTCCCCTTGCCAGAGGTGTAGGACAGAGGGCCTGACAAGGACAGTTGTCTAGTTGTTCGGATGGGATGGAAAACCGAGGTCATGTGTTCACACGCAAAAATCCCTTGACAGTTGGAATTTAATATAAAAGTAGATCGTAGTGCCGCTGTCTGGGCAAAATTTCCCTCATAGCAAACTACACGGCATATACCCGTCTTTATTAGCAAATCAAAGCAGAACAGTAGGACGTTAACCCATTTCATTTTCTGGGCTAAACGACGTCTCATAAACATCGCATTTCAAGGTGTTACATTTATCTAATCATGTTGTTTATGTATGATTATCCAGTATCATTTATGACTTTGACTGTCAATAACCATTTATCAGGGTTGATTACTTGATAATTGAGCCTATGGTACATTTATGGATTCATTCTAAGTTTTTTAGCCGAGTTACTTAAGGTAACCTGTGAAAAACATTTAATAAAAAAAAAACGGTCATGCGGCTCTTTCTTTGGTGACACGTTAGAAGGGAACCAGAATATTTCTTTCATTTTGCCCAATATGAATTCGAAGCCAAGTACGGAAACAAGAAAGAAATGAAATGAAATGGAATTTAACGTCCTACTGTTCTGCTCCAAACTGGGCTAACGAAGATAGGCATACGCCATACAGTGTGCTATGAGGGAAATTTTGCCCGGACAGCGGTACTACGGCCTACTCTTATATCGAATTCCAACTGTCAAGGGATCTTTTCATGCACGCCAATGTCCACACGAGATCTCGTTTTTTTCGTCCCATCCGAACAACTAGACAGCTGTCCTTCCATCCTGCATCACTGACATTGGGGAACCATAACACGTAAGAAAAAAAAATAATATATTTAAATTTGACTTACATCCTCAGATACTTTAAACCTCTTCCACAGAGCTATAAATCGCTGCTTTAAATTTCTTTGCTGACAAAAAAAACAAAATTGTATGTTTCAGATTAACCCTTTAATAGACAGAGATAGTGAATGGGGTTTAACGTCCACTCGACACAAACTAGGTCATTTCGGGACTAACATATGGTTTAATTTTTTATTTCAATAATTCGCTTAGCAGTGGGAGGAAACCGGAGGACCCGGAGAAAACCCATGAGGTTGGACAGACGACCCTACTCCTTGTCACGTACAACCGGAGATTCGAAACCACGCCCTCTCACTCAATGACAGGCCTTATGAAATAAAATTGAACCATGTGTTAGTCCCAAAATGACCTAGTTTGTGTTAAACCCCATTTCTTTCTTTATTCACAGGACTTGAGCTGGACTATGGTCAAGGAGCAGTAATAATGAATGATTCTGGATGATTCTGGTTGTCCAGGGATACACATGTATGATGGAACAATATCCCTTTTATCATTTTTCAAACTTAATGGATGGCCGAATGGTTAGCATGTGTGCGCTGTATCATAAGGCCTGTCATTGAGTCAATTGGCGTGGTTTCGAATCCGCGGTTGTACGTGACAAGGAGTAGGGTCGCCTGTCCAGCCTTGTGGGTTTTCTCCGGGTCCTCCGGTTTCCTCCCACTGCTCAAGACCCCTACACGCAAGCGAATTATTAAAATAAAATTAAAACCACATATTAGTCCCGAAATTACCTAGTTTGTGACGAGTGGATGTTAAACCTAATGCTGTTAAGTTACAATTATGTAAATATTATTTAATAATACATTATTCAAGATTTAGACAAAGAGCTGAAAAAATTAATATATTGAAAATTCCAGTCAAATTTCCTTTTTCTGAGCAACATTATCACAATATAGTCTTGACTGTCAAGTACCCAAAAACAAAGTCTCAATTATCCATTCTTAAATTAAATCATTAAATAGCTATCATGCTTTAATCCACTGCAAATCCCAACCATCTGATGGTCTAAGTTGATTACGGGTTTGTCGTGTGAATAAATATCTAATTGATAACTTATATAATATTTGAGCTCAAAGAAAGACCCACACTAGGTCGTTTTATCTCATACATAATGCATCTTCGAATATAGAAATAAAAAAAATAGACCACAATTGTCATCTTTACCTTGATGTTCATCATTATAAAACAATATGAACATTCGTTGACTACGTGATTGGTTGGGGGATTTTTTCTCGATTTATTTTTGTTTTCATTAACACATTATCACGCGTGGTGAGGTCGTTATTTGATCTACATTATAAAAAGTCTGTTTGTAGGTTTATATAATTAACAACAATTGAGAATATAGGAATACTGATCAAAGGATATATTATATTGATCAAGGTGTAAGTATAAAGAATATAATATATATCGCTGAAGGTATATGTGTGGGTTGGTTACTCGTAGTCGTATATTATCACTGCTGAAGACGTAATTTGATCTTCGTTATTACAAGATGATTAATTTATCTATTATAATTAACAACATTTCAGAAAATAGGTATAAAAATATAATTGAATATATTGATGTATTTAACTAAGAATATAATATATACTGATGAAGGTGTGGGTTGGCTACTGATAGTTGTATTATAATACTGTCATAATATCATATTGTAATACTTTAATGATCAATACAGGTAGGTACATGTATATATATACAGGTAGGTATATATACTTTAACAATCAATACAGGTAGGTATATATACTTTAATAATCAATATTATACAGGTGGGTATGTTAATATACACAAACTACAACTTTACCATGAGAGAGAGAGAGAGAGAGAGAGAGAGAGAGAGAGAAATGGGGTTTAACTCCACTCGACACAAACTAGGTCATTTCAGGACTAACACATGGTTCAATTTTATTTCAATAATTGGCTTGCGTGCAGGGGTCTTTAGTAGTGGCAGGAAACCAGAGGATCCGAGAAAACTCACGAGGTTGGACAGGCGACCCAACTCCTTGTCACGTACAACCGGGGAACCGAAACCATGCCAGTTGACTCAATGACAGACCTTATGATACAGCACTCACATGCTAACCATTCGACCATCCAACCCCCTTCACCATGACACTATTTCTGCAGCCCAATTATCAAAAACCCTACTAATGAATGCAGTGTGCTATGACAGAAATTTTTCTCGGACAGCGATTGAATTCCAATTGTTAAGGGTTCTTTTATGTCTTGTGTACACACAAATTCAGTATTTTTTCCCATCCAATGACTACGCTCTGTTCCTTGCCAGGCCCTCTGTCAATTGGGATCCTCCTTATTTTCTACTACAAAACATAACCGAGTTTTAAAATTTTTTACCAAGAACTTCCTTGTGAGAGCTTCAGATGAATGAATAGAATAAAAGATATAACTTTCTAAAAGTCTTAAATGCAGAGTCTTCACCAAAATACATTAATTATATCTGTTACAGCTCCCAAATTCATTAAAGCGATAATTTCATATTTTCTAAGAAAGTCAAAACATAATTATTTCTATGTCTTTTGCTCAGTAGGTTATCAACTCACTATTATACGACCATGGGAATTATTTCCCACCCTTAAAATCATTGACACAGGAAATAATAACACAATTATCTCCCTTGTTTTCCTATTGCATCCATGCATTAGCTACCTTCAAACGTTGGAATTTGAAGTTGGAAATGATATTTTTGCCAATTTCTCAGCTGGCAATAGTGACTTATAGGATTAATAGGATTATTCTTTAACAAGGTAGGACGGTTTATGGATACCATCTATTTTAAGGCTTTATTTTAATAAATTTTAAAAATATAACTTAAAAATATGAAATTGCAGCTTTTAAATAACACCAACAATTCTATTACGGAGCTATGTTTTTGCAATGATTCTCTTGTCGTTTTCAGAAATAGCAAAATTACTACAGAGCTTCAGATATATGAATAGGACAAAAATTATAACTTTTTTATAAAGTCTTCCATGCAGAGTCGTCACAAAGATACACATCTGTTACAGCTCCCTAATTCATTAAAATACTCTATATAAAACAATTAATGTATTTTCAACCAGAGCTATGTTTCTACAATGATTCTCTTGTCATTTTCAAGCACAGTCCTGATAGAGTCAGAAACAGCAAATAGGAACGTACTTTGTCAAATAAAAACATAAAATAAACAACAGTTCTATGGAAAATAAATACTGTATCTAACAAGAGCTATATGTCTCTACAATCAATTAGTCTCTTGTGGTTTTCATTTTGTTTGACTATAATCACTGTAACCCTATTATCATTCACTCTTGTAAATTAGACACTCATTATCAAAATTAAACGGTCAGCTTTAAACTGGACACAAATAAAAATCAGATGATTTGGTGTGATTTTAGACAAGTTTTACAAATTTTAAAAGAAAAATTTCATATTGAATGAATGTGAAGAAAATTTGGGCTAAATACGCAAGATTAAACAATACCCAGGTTACAGTGAATGCCGTTGGGAGCAATACTTACCCGTGATGTGACTGGTCTTATTTTACCACGGCTGACTTTACGTGGTCGACGCCGAGAATGTTCTTCCAACTCTCCATCACTAAGATCGTCATTAGAAGAGGATTCTGGGTCGTTAAAATCATGCACCTCATCTTCATCAGTATCATTATCAACATCAGGTGAACGATCTGAAAAACAGTCATCAACAAATATGAGAATACTTAATGAGACAGAAGACAGGAACTATTTAAAGACTAAGCCTGGAAATAAGACACTTCTATTGTCAGGAATTTATCACAACCACTAAGAGAAACAGTCAACAACAATTTAGGTAAAATAAAAAGTAAGCAATCATTTAGGTAAATAGTAAATAATCATTTATGTAAATAATAAACAATCATTTAGCTAAACAGTAAACAACCATTTCGGTAAACAGTAAACAATCATTTAGCTTAAAAACAGTAAACAACCATTTTGGTAAACAGTAAACAATCCATTTAGCTTAAAAACAGTAAACAACCATTTTGGTAAACAGTAAACAATCCATTTAGGTAAACAGTAAACAATCCATTTAGGTAAACAGTAAACAATTCATTTAGCTAAACAGTAAACAACCATTTAGGTAAACAGTAAACAATTCATTTAGCTAAACAGTAAACAACCATTTAGGTAAACAGTAAACAATCATATAGCTAAACAGTAAACAACCACCTAGGTAAAAAAGTAAACAACCATTTAGGTAAACAGTAAACAACCGACTAGGTAAACAGTAAACAACCATTTAGATCAACAGTAAAGAACTGTTTAGATAAACACTAAACAATTAATTGACCAATACAGTTTCTTGTTTAGGTAAACAATAAACAATTATGTTTAGAATTTATTGTTTACCTAAACCAGAGACTACATTGGACAATTAGATGTGACTTTCAAATTGTCGAACCTGGGGCAATTCTTATTTATAATATGAGCCCAAAGACATTGCTTATACAAAATAAAAAGAACTTGATGTAAAAGGCAACTTTCTGATATTTAAATACTTCATTTTAAAATCATTTGAAATCACATGCACATACTTTGATTTTATTTTTAGGAAGTTAAACACCATTTCATCTTGATTTATTACCCAATTGTTTTTATTTAGTTGTTAATATATATTTCTGTTCAGTAGTTTCTGATTTTGAAATCATTTGAAGTCTTTTTTTTTCTTAGGATGTTATACTTCATTTATTTCTTTTCATTTCATTTCACATCGATTATAATACTCAACTTTTTTGTTTAGTTGTTAATATCTATTTTTGGTGTGCAGTATGCAGTTTCTGTTTCTCATTTGCATGCTGCAGGCAACATGATCAATACATAACATTGGTTGCATAAATCTGTTTTCTGTATATTGCTTCTTTGAATCAATTTAATATGCACCCGGCCTAATATTAAAGATACTTTCCCAGAAAAGTATTTATCGGGTGGTTATTTCCAATAAAAGTATGTCCAAGTTGGTATATATGGAAAGTATAGACACCCAATCTTACTAAAAAAATACTGGATTACCCGAAAAACGCCCATGGGGCAAGCACTGGGCAAAATTGTCAGGGTATCACTAACTGGCAACCAGACTGTTATTTGCCAGTTTAAGTGAAGAAGCGGTTATCACTTCTTGATCAAATGGTTAGGCAATTTTGGGAACATTGAGGGGTGTCAAAGCACAAAAGACTCTGCAATTAAACGGTGGAAGAAGAAGTTGACAGAAATAATTAAGAATTTACTTAGATCTCGATATGTGTGGTAAATGTACAGTAAGTAATGATAAATACATTCTGAAAAATAGACCCTCCCACAATGAAGCTAAGTTAATAAACATTGCGTCTAACAACGGCTTACTTATAGCTATCCCCGGCGAATACAAATTTTTGAGAGGGAATTGAAGCAAATTTTTGATAGATTGGTTACTTTGAATATGTTTTTAGTCCAAATATATCATCAAATCACAAAGTTTGTACGAGGGAATGTATCTTTAATCGTTACGCGATAACGGATTGTTATTATGATTGACCCACCTCGAACACATGTCTATAATATAAACACTTCATCCATTGTTTTATTACATCTTGAATGCAATGTTGGCCAACAAAAATACAGGATCACAAAAAAACAAAGATCTTGATTTTGATTTCTTTTATTTTCCATAAATATCAATATCAAATTGCCTTATTCAAAGCAAATCAAACCATCATTATTTCCTGTGATGCTGTGCTTTGAAAAAAATTCTTCAGGTATCGTCGTCGACTACTTCCTGATGTACACTACACACCTATAAATATTTCTTCTGAATAAGACCTCACATGAAGGAGTATCAGTGCTAGAGGAGATGAAACCTGATTATCAGATACAGAACAGGCAATCTGTCCACCTAGTCTATTCTTTCACAATAACATTTATTTAAACCCAATCTGATTAAAACACAGATCCTATTTTGTTTTGTTATTTACAGTTCAAAATTTTGTTTTACTTGTCTTTACTACACTAGGATCTGGAAGAGCTGTTATATTAGCTGCATTCTAGTTGATGTGAGGAATTAGCCAATGAAACTGTCTGTTACGGCGAGTTCTTGGGTAAGCCCTAGAAACATCAAAGCTGAAAGATTAATCAATGTCTGACGTCACAGGGTCAAAAGCCACTCATATGACCCCTGACGCAACCTCCCAGTACAACTGGTCAGATCTTCATGTAGTGTAGGCCATCGAAAGTATATATAAAAAAAAAACGAAACAAAATGGGGTTTAACCTCTACTCGACACAAACTAGGTCATATTCAGGGACTAACATATGGTTCAATTTTATTTCAAAAATTCGCTTGCACATAGGGGTCTTTTCAGCGGTGGGAGGAAACCGGAGGACCTGTAGAAAACTCACGAAGTTGGACAGGTGACCCTACTCCTTGTCACGTACAACCGGGGAAAGATGTAATATACATTCAACAACAAGATGCATTGAAAGGTGATGTCTGTGTGAAGTCATTTAGCCCAGTATTGATCCTTTGACAAAAATACAATCCAATTAAAATACAGATCTATATTTCGTTTCGTTTTTTTTACTTTATATGGACTACACTACATGAAGATCTGACAAGTTATAGTGGGAGTTCACGTCAGGGGTCAAATGAGAGGCTTTTGACCCTATGACATCAGACATTGATTAATCAATTAGCATTAATGTTTCTAGTGGTTTACCCACAGTTCCGTGAAAAAAAGGCCAAGAACTCGCCGTAACAGACCCGTTTCATTAGCTAATCCCTCACATCAATAAGAATGTGTGTTATATAACAACTCTTCCAGATCCTAGTGTAGTAAAGACAAGTAAAACAAAATTTTAAACTATGAAAACAAACAAAATAGGATCTGTGTTTTAATCAGATTGACAAAAATAAAAACACTCAAAAGAAAAAACGTCCCTCCCGCATCAGATTTTTAGGAAGGATTGTCCGAGAATATTTATCTTTTTGTATGGCCTAACTATCTAACTTTATTCTTTATTTACAAACAAGCCAAGAGGCAATGTCACCGACTTTGTCAAGTACAAATTACCACACAACTACAGGTATCTTTATTTACAAACAAGCCAAGAGACATGTCTCAAAACAGAAACAATATCTTTAATCATTCCATTTACAACCCTGGACATAGGGCATGTGTCACCGACTTTGTCAAGTACATATTACCTATATATCTATATTAACTAACAAAACAGAAACAATGTCTTGAATCGTTCTTTGTGTTAATGTAAAAGTTGGTAGCCTCGCAACCCTTCATGAACACAATCCAGTCTAACAAACTGAAAAGAATATTTTCTTTTTAGCTCGACTGCAGGCTGTATATGACACCATTTTCGAAGAAAACATTTATTTCTGAAACTGATACAGGACGATGTAGGGTTAAACGTATACGCCAGTGGTTCTTAAAGTGTGCGCCTGGGCGCTCCCTAGAATATGTCTAGGTGCGCCCTGTGGCATTGCAGAGAACTCAGTGTTCAGATATAAAAATAAATATATATAATTACAATACCATAGGCCTTTATCATTTTATTACGCCAATGATTACGATGGATATACCGTAACTAAATGAAATGGGGTTTAACGTCCTACTGTCTTGCTCCTAAACAGGGCTAATGAAGACGGGCATATGCCATACAATGTGCTAAGAGGGAAATTTTGCCCGGGCAGCAGCACTACTGCCTACTCTTATATCGAATTCCAACTGCCATGGGATCTTTTATGTGCACGCCAATATGTACACGGGACCTCGTTTTTTTGTCCCATCCGAATGACTAGACAGCTATCCTTGGCCCTTCATCCTGCACCACTGACAAGGGGAAACCACGCCGGAAAATCTGAATGAACTTTCTCGGCCAATGTTTCATTTCATATTTTTTAGTCGCACCCTTTCTTTTGTATATTTGACTTAAATATAACATATTTATCGAAAAATTTGTATAATGCACCTACAATTATTTTAGGATTTTAAATGCGCCCCGACATAAGAAAGTTGGAGAACCACTGTCTATTACAGGCCTTTCTTAAAGGCCTGAAATGTCATATAAACTATTAGACATTAATTAACATGAAAAGACTATAATGAACTCTCGATGCCATGTTATATACCAGATTTTCATTGGATTTTAATCCGATCTACTGTTCAACACCTGTTGATGATTAACTGCAAAAATAGATAATCAAGACTTTGTTATAGTGACAGTGGTAACAATGACAATCAAGGCTACAGTGATTTTAAAAAAAGGTTTTCATGGCTTAGAGTGAAGTAATTTGACTGCAATTTTCAGTATATCCACTTTTCATTATTTATTTGTTAACTACGGTAGCGAGAACTGACAGCTCTTTATCTAATATTCCATAATGTATCTTTAAGTTCAGACTTCAGTAACTTGCCTCACATTCTCTGTAAATTACAGCTGAATACTATAAATTAATGTTAATCAAATACAGTATCTATTATATATATACACACATTTATACAGACAGGTTCATAAACTACGTTTTGTTATTTGGCCAGAAATCAAAGCCATTCTCAATCATCCAGAACTTTGATAGTCCATTAAAACATATAAGAAGTCTGGAAAAACAAGACCATTAAACCTATCTCTCATCTCATCCACTTACTTGAGTCTGTCTAAA